ATGGCTCCCCCCTCGCCAGGAGTGACCTCCAGACCCTTTTCATGATCTGCGGGCCCTGCTGCCTGGCTGAGCTCCTCTCTTCCCAGCTTACCCAGCCCCAGCTCCCTGCGCTCCTTGACACCCGCCTCACTCCCACTGCGAGGTCCTTGTCTCTGCTGTGTCCCAGCCGGGAACTCTTCCCCAAACGCCACCCAGCTGGCTCCTCGGTCCCCAGGTCTCTGTTCAGGCATCCTCTCTTCATGAGTCCTTCCCTGACCATGTGTCCTAGTCAACCCTTGTCACTTCCCACTTCATCAGTTCTTTCCCACCCCCTGCTTTATTAGCTCCCATCAGACATTAGTGGGTCATTTTACTATTCTTCCTTGTTTGCTGCTGGTGAGGTCCCTGCGGACAGGTACCATGTTGGTCTTATCCGCACTGTGTCCCCAGAGCTTAGCACAGAACCTGTCACACAGTAGGTGCTCCATAGACACCACCGGGTGAGCAGACAGAATACTGGAGGGGTACTGAACCCTGAACTGCCCAGCAGTGGGGACCGCAGGCTCAGACTCTTGGAATCAAGAAACAAATAAGGACGATTACTTGCCACAGAGCACTGAGGTAGTGTGAGGCTCATTAAGGACGAGCACGGCCGGCGCGGCCCAGGCTCTGCCAGGTCCCGAGGGGATACTCCTCCAGCATCCTCGCCCAGCCTGGGCTCAGTGTCCCAGGAGCAGCATCCCTGGAGAACACGGTGGCTCAAATGGGCAGGAGAGGGACAGGGTGGGAAGAGGGTGGGCTGAGACCCAGCCAAGTCCCTCTCTGGCCTGTTACCCCGTCTACACAGTGGTCAGGCCGCCTCCTGCTCTTTGGCTTCATCTGGTCGGTGAGAGGTAGGAAAAGCCTCCGGAGAGGCGGGATGCTACCACTTCTCATCCAGGAGAACTGAGGCACCATGAGCTGAGCTGTCAGAGAGCGAGCCCCGATCTCCTGTGTGCAGGCAGGCTGACAGTTGGAGCGTGCTCATGCCACGGGGCTTACTTGGACAATCTCCACGGTGATGCCACCAGCTTGATATCCAAGACCATGGACAGAAGGGTCTCTGGCACCAGGTACCCTGCAAGGGTAGATTGTTGGTGCAGGCTGGGCCCAGCTGTCTTGCCTCTGGCACGACCCCGGCGAGGGATCGACAGGGGATCAAACCTGCAACCCAGGTACGTGCCCTTGACCGGGAATCAAACCCAAGACTCTTCGGTCGACAGGTCGACGCTCTAACCACTGAGCCAAACAGGCCAGGGCTTACCTTAGGACTTCTTCCTTGGCTGTTCCCTCTGCTGAAAGACCTCATCCCTACCACACACCCCAAAAGACCTGGCACTGGTCTGGAAATAGCTGCCACAAAGCCCGGGCACCACTGTCCACCACAAAAGCACCTATGACTACAGGCTGAGCACTCCGTTCCAGAGTCCCAGGCTGCTCCTTTGGGCACTGGGCTCATGAGGAACATGTGCGTGACCTGAGGGAGGGGGCCCCTGTTCCGGATCTGTCCCTTGCCCCCAGAGCACGGATGCTGGTGGCACTGTCCCCTTGGGGAACTCAGCCACACAGATACCCAGTAGCTGCCATATACTCTTGGAAGGTGCCCAGCTCACAGGCACCTGTCACTGCTCTGCCCCTTGACCTTTGTCCCTGCAATGTCCCTTTTTTTTCCAAAGTGAAGAAGTTGGAACTTATGTAGTTTAGTAGATTATGGAAGCATTCTTTTTTTTTAATCCTCACCTGAGGATATGTTGTTTTTTCATTGATGTTTAGAGAGGAAGGGAGAAAGAGAGAAACATCAATGTGAGAAAGAAACATTGATGGGTTGCTTCTGCACAGCCCTGACTGGGTATTGAACCTGCAATCTAGGTATGTGCCCTGGCTGGGAATTGAACCCACAACCTTTTTGTGTACGGGACAATGCTCTAATCAACTGAGCCACCCAGCCAGGGCATTGCAGTGTGCTTTGACTGACACAACCCCTTATTCCCACCACCTGCCAATCCAAGACCCACTCACCCTTCCAGACCCCCTGCAGGACCCACCCAGCACTGAATCCAGAACGGAACCTGGATACCCAGAGCCAGTCAGATCCACTGCCCCTCCCCAGCACCTCCGCCAAAGACCTGGGGCGCGCAGACAGGGTCTGCAGTCCCAGTGGGGAGGGACACTCCAAAATCCAGCCAGGACCAGCGAATAGAGGACACACATCCCCAAAGGAGGGGAAACCGAGGTGAGAGCAATCTCAGATCTCCCAGGGGAGGCAAACTTCGAGCTAACATCATGAGTACTTATTGGACAGTTACCCAGCACCTGCGATGTGCGAAGCACCCTGCCAGGGGTGGAAACCACGCACAAGACAGACCTTGTCCTGCCCTGGAGAAGGGGGCACGATGATGAGTAAACACACAGATACTGAGGTGAGAATAAAGCAGGGCAGGGGGTGGAGAGGACAGGGGTGCCGGGCATTAGGGGGGGCGTCCGAGCAGGCCAAGGAGGAGAGGCCATTTGATCTGCCAGAAGCCCCTCTCAGGCAGAGAGGAGAGCAAACACAAAGGTCCTGGCTGGCTCTGGGCTTAAAGGTGTCCTCCTCCTGAAAGCCCTCCTGGATTGCTTCTCCTGGCGCCACTGCATCTGCACACTGCTCCATGAGCTCCACCTGCCTCCCGCTGGAAGCCCAGTGCTCGTGCTCAGTAAGATAAGCTGGGGGGTAAACTGATGAGACGTATTCACAGGACAGACGAGTGATCTGTGTCCCCAGTGGGAAAGGGCTGGCGTTCCTCACTCTGGTGACCCCAGTGCCCTGACAGTGCTTGGCACACAGCAGGTGCTCAGTTGGTGGTGCCAGGAAACGAGGTCAGCGATGGCTTCTCTTCGAGGACAAGGTTTCCTCAACTCCCCTCGGTGCCCTTGTGCCCCATCTCCTGGTGGAAGGACAGCCACCCTCGGTCTACCAGTGGGCTCATGACTCCTCGGCCCAGCTGGGCCCAGGGAAATGTTTCTGCCCCTGGAGAGAAGTGGCTGCTCCTTGCTCCGGTGGTTAGCAGTACATGGGCAGGGACACTGCAGGCCGTACCTTCCTGCGGCTCTCACCAGCGACACGGCGGGGGCCCTAGATCCTGGAGAAGGCGCGCAGGGAGGGCTGAAGGCAGCCCTCGTGGTCGAGGGCTACACGGGATGCAGCGGTGGGCCATCTGCACATCCCGTGAGGGATGCCGCCTACGAAGCTCGCGCGCCACGGTTATGGGCTGTGTGGGTGAGAACACATGAGGCAGAGAATGTGTGTGAACGTGAGTGTGAGTGAGGGTATTGAGTGCATGTGTGCAAAGGTGCACAGGAAGAGAAAAAATGTCTAGAAGAAAATGCACCAAAATGATCTCTGGGAGAGAGAATCCAGATGGTTTTTATTGGCTTCCATGCTTTTCTGTATTTTCCTCATTTTCCAAATTCAGCCTGTGCTACTTTTAGAATCAGGAAAAAGATAAAATAAGCCATTTTTAAGAACATGGGTGCAAAAGGCAGAGGGAGAGGAGGCAGGTGCTCTCTGCGGGCAGCTGGGCCTGGGGAGAAGGGGAGGGTGCAGTGCGGTGACCAGAGAGAGGCGGCCCCCCCACCCCATGTCCTCACACCCAGCTCCTGTGTGAAACTGGCCTTCAGCACCCCACTGGGACCTCAGCTCCTTCTCACCTTGACGCTCCGGAGTCGGAGTTGTCTGCCCAGTTCTCCAGGTAGGGCCAGGGTGTGCTAGGTGTGGGCTCCTTAATCTAAGAACCTTAACCTAAGAACCGAGCCTTGCAGGGTTTGGTCCCCACAGCAGAGACTACAGTGGCCCTGGGGAGGAGGCGCTGTGACGCAGGGGACTCCGCGGCAGAGAGCAGAGGGAGGTCCCAGCTTGCAGGCTGGGAAGTGTGAAAGGGAGAAGCAAGTGGAGGGAGAGAGATGCGGAGCCACACGGTCACCCTCGGGCGCCATGGGGACACAGAGTTAGGGAGACCTCCAAGAACCCAAACCCAGGCCTGCAGCCCACCCCACTGCTCTGGCAAGCCCCCGCCCAGTGCAGCACTGTGGGCACCACGGCACAGCCGCAGTGGCACTCTGGCTCATTGTCCAGAGTCCCCACATGCATCAGAACAGGATGTGGAGCTCGAGAGGGCTGGCAGCCCAGCAGAGGCCTGGACAGTTGCCCCTGGACCAGAGCAGGACAGTCGGAGATGATGAGAGACTCTGAAGCCAGACAGCAGCAGAGCCAGGCCAGGGTGCCATCTACCACACTTCCGGCCCACCCTTGTACGAAGGCCAGAGCAGGTTGTAAATACAGGATCCCCTGCAGTGACAGAGGACAGACTCCCTGCCACCTCCAGATGGCTGCTGGTCTCATGCTTGCTGGGAAGCTGAACCAAGTTTCACGGCTCACCGCAGGGTCGTGACCCAACCACCCCTTCACCACGGGGCGTGTGAGGCCCTGCTCTGGGCTTCGGTCTACCTCAGGCCAGACAGCAGAAGTCCTGTGGGAGGGACTCTCCTCCCGGCACCCACCCAGGGCCTTGCTGGGGACATGACCGGATCAGAGACACAGCCTGGTGCCTAAGGGGGCAAGGGACACAGCCCAACCTCATGGCCTGTGGACTCCAACATCTGTGAACATTTATTTTCTTTTCTAGGACTCTGGTGAAGGTCAACGTCACCAGATAGCCAGAGCGTGGACAGCCAGGGCGAGTTTCATATCCTCCGCGCCTGACAGGGGTGAGCCAGGGACAGACAGGACCCCATGGGCCCAGTCGCCCTGCTGGAGGACAGCAGAGGCTGAGCCGCCGCAGCACCTGACGTGGAAGCCCTTCTTCGTAGGGTACAGAAGAGCGTCCTTCGGAGGCTGAGACCTGCTTCAGGGAAGAGGCGACCGGCGTGGGCGCCCCGATCCTGCAGGACGTACCTGGACGCCTAGGAGAGGACTGAGTGGGCAGACAGGGCCCCGCGGAGGCTGACTAGGGCCGCATGGAAGGGTAGGTCTGGAGCCCCGGGGAGGTGAGCCTGCTGGCCGGCAACACGGAGCCCGAGGCTAGCGATGAGAACACGGAGGAGGGGGAGTAGACGGCAGTGGGCATGGGGGCCGTCTCCCTGACAGGATGCACGTCCTTCAAGATGTCATGCGTCACCAGGCGGATAAGATGGCCCTGCTGGTCTAGGACCTTGTGTATCATGAAGTTAGGCTGGTGGGTTGGTGCCAGTTCGTTGAAGTACAGGCTTTGGTAGATCTGAGGTGAGATCTGTGGGGAACAGAGCAGGGTAGTGTAGGGGCAGGCAGCGGGCACCAGGACCACGAGCAAGCTCACAGGAAGGATGGGCCCTGGGGTCTTCCATGCCAGAGAGGTCTCCAGAGCACTCCGGTTGTCACTGGTGACCACAGCCTTCTGGGCCTGCAAGCCCACTGTGCCTGAGGCTCGTCACTCAGCCCCCCTCTTGGTGCTGGCAACAACCCTGTGAGGTTGGCACTGGGCTTCCCCCATCTTAGAACGAGACCCAGGCTGGACCCCAAGTGGGCTCAGGTGCAAGGAGCTCCCGGGTGCGCTCCCACACCTCCCCTTAGCATTAGCCAAGATGCGCTGTGATTCCATCTCCAAGAGAGGGCAGAGGCCCTTTCCACGCTGACTTCTTCCCAGCCAGGGACAGAGGAATTACTTCACTTATCCTGAGTGCCCGCCACGGAGGCAGGGAGCTCCTGTAATGCCCTGTGGCAGATGAGGAGGGAACGGGTAGGAGAGGCTGGGATCTGCCCAAGCAAGAGGCAGGATGGGGTTCAAAGCAGGTCTTTCCCAAGTCCCCGCTTCTTTCTCTCCCCCTACCATTCCCTCTGCCTCTTCCTGACTGTTCCTGGCACCATGCACCTGTGTCTGCTCGGGGGCAGCCCGCAGTATGGAGACAGAACAGTCAACACACTAGCAAACCAAAAGTCAGACTCTGGGAAATGCTTTGAAGGCTATCGGCAGGTGCCAGGCCCGCGGGGGATGCCCTCCCATAGGCCCAGTGAGGCTTGTCCTCAAGGACAAAACTGTGTCCATGGCTTCAGCCAGGGCCTTGGCAAACGACTCATCCTGGACCAGCTTCATCCTGGAACTGTCGGACTCAGAATCCTGTAAAGGACCGATGCTCCCCTCAGCCCCACTGGGGGCCCTGTGGGCACAGGGGGTGCTAATGGAGCCTCCAGCCCCAGGGCCTCGGGGAGCAGCCCCGCCCTGCCGCACCTGGTGCTTCATCATCAAGCTAAACTGCACGTTGGTGGACAGGACTCCAGGGCTCCGCGCTCGCTCCTTGGGCTTGTAAGCTGCTCCCAGCACTTTGCTCACCTGCAGGAGCCACGGGCAAGAGTGAAGGCTCAGGACTGAGAGTTGGGGGCCCATCACACCCCCTGGGCCCCCCCTCCCGCTTCACCTGCTTGTCCTTGGACTCCCACTTGTGCCAGGTGTTCTCAATATCTTCCGGGGAGCGCTCTCCAGCCCATGGGGACATCAGGGTTATCTTCTGCAGCTTGGCCCAATCGTCCGCCTCCGTGTCTGCGTTCCCGTTCAGGAGGGCCATGAGTGCGACCTGCTCCCGCCGCTGGTACACCAGGGCCTCGGCGAAATCCCGCTCCTCCCTGATGTGAGGGGCTTTCCTTCAGGAGCGGCCCTCCGCACCACAAGGCAGGGAGGCCCTCCCAGGAACCCCGAAGGCTAGAGAGGCTCCCAGCATCCCCCTCCTTGGGCCAGAGGAGTCCAGATAACTCACTGAAGCTCGGAATAGGCCTTCTTGGAGGCATGTGCGAATTCGTTCTTTTTCTCTAAGCTTTTATTCAGTTCTTGATCACCGACCATCTGGGTATCCTTCAGCTTTTTCCAAACACTCAGGCCAAATGTCCCTGTGATTTAACCAGACCCAACTCAGTAACAGTGACTGGCGTAACCTCCCACTCTGAACCCTCTGCCCCTCACCCTCCACCCTTAAGTCAACCAGCCACCTCTTACCCCTGACCCACACTTCATGATGTCCACCATATGCCGGACATTATGCTGGCTACTCAACAAATACCTGGAGGAATCAGACACTAGCCCTAGTATATACTCGAAGCTCAGGCCTAAAGCATCCTGCCCCCCATGAAGGCTGAAATGGAGAGAGAACTAAGGCAATGACAATGATTCTCAGTTGGGCTTCACCTAGCTCATGTATGAAATGATCAGGTGTCCATCAGACACGAGGTTAGGGGTGGGCTGGGGAAGAACAGGGCTGGAGTTGAAAGTAGGTAGTGAGAACATGAGTCCTACTACTTCTGGGCAGGGGCAGGGCATAGTAAGTAGTAGGTCATTTGCCTGCTGCAGAATTGTTTAAAAATTAAGAAAAAACAGATACATTTAAAAAATCATATTTTTAAAAAACACTGGAGAGCTGTAGAAACAAAGAAAACTGGATGCACTAAAAGTACAGAAAGGAAAGAGTCCTTCTCAGAAGAACCGAGATCAGGAGCTGCTTTCTTTTCTGGGAGATTTTCTGAATCTGGGCACAGGGTGGGTGAGAATCAGGCTCAGCTTAGGCAGAGGGGAGCTACTGGGTGGAAGAGAAGTGATCAGAGCTTCTGATGGATTAAGTCTAGTGGAGTCCCACATGCATCGTTCTTTTTCCCACTGGGCATTTGCTTAGCACTGGGGGAGTTGAGGGTCTGGAGGTTGGGCTAGAAAGACAGAGTGAGATCATTGGGAATAGAGTCCCACTGGAGGAAGAAGCCTATAACAAACACAACAGACTTCACTCCTGAGAAAACTGAAGACAGAAGTAAGCTCAGTCTACCTAAACATACATCCAGTCCCAACCCAGCTCAATTCCTGGTTGCGCTGAGAGGAGCAGCCCCACGCAGAAGAGAGCACGTGCAGTCTAGAAGAAAACCATATCAAGCTCACTACAGTCCTTTTTACAAAATCCAGCAAAGTTTTACTTGGAAGATTGTTTGTGTTTGTTTTTGGGTTTTTTATTTGTTTGCGTTTTAAGTTTTTAATGCAGATGACATGAAAAGACAGGAAAGTAAAACCAATAATCAAAAGAAGAAACAGGCATTAGGATCAGACCCACAGATAACTCAGACATTGGAGTTAGCCGATAAACACTTTAAAATAACTACTGTGAATAACGTTAAATAAAATAAAGAAAAATATAACAAAATAAAGGGAAAAGAGGGAGAATTTCAAAAGTGAATTGAAATCTATAGAAAAGGGCCAACTAGGTATTCTAAGAACTAAAAAACACAAAAATTAATTGGATAGATTTAAAAGTAGACTGAAAACAGAAGAAGACAGAATTAATCAGCTGGAAGGCTGGTCAGTAGAAATAGGTAAACTGGAATGGAGAAATTAAAGATGAAAAGAACAGAACAGAGCATGAGAGACCTGTGACGAAGTCCAATGTTCTAGCACACCTGCAATTGGAACCCCACAAAGGGACGAGAGAGAGAGCATGGCAAGAGCAATATTAAAGAGATAATATCTGAGAATTTTTCAAAACTAATGAAAGATATCAATCCAGATGGAAAAAGATCAGTGAACTCCAAGCAGAATAAATACAAATGAAACCACACTTAGGTACATCATAGGAAAATTTCCCAAAAACCAAAAGCAGCCAGAGAAAAAAGAAAAATTACCTTCAAATTATCAACTTACAGCTGACTTTTAAAGAGAAAACAGAAGCCAGAAGACAATGGAATGGTCCTTTTTAAGTACTGACAGAAAATACACTGCCATCTGAGAATTCTGTGTCCAGTAAAATAATAACATTTTAAGGCAAAATATGGATGTTTTCAGAAAAATAAGAGCTTAAAGAGCTTATCACTAGCAGATCAGCTCTATAAGAAACAATAAAGGAAGTTCTCTGGACTGAAGGAAGATTGCTGGCAGGACCCTAGCTCTTCAGGAAGGAATGAAGAGCAATGGAAATGGGGACTATATGGGCAAATATAAATGCTCACGGTAACATTTACAACAATGCCTGTGGGAAGTCGTCACATGCGTAGAAGTAAAATACATGCGAGCAATAGCACAAACAGCAGGGAGGGGAAGGGAAGGTTCTTGCATAGGAAGTGGTATCAGGTCTAGAGGGCACATTATAATCTACAGGGTAACCACTAAAAGAATAATACAAAAATATACAATTAAAAACTAGAGGAGTCAAACAATACTTTTTTAATACTTGATTAACCCAAAAGAAGACAGAAAAAGAGGAATAAAGGAGCAAAGAACAGATGGAATAAACAGAAACAGATATCAGATGATAGACTTAAATCATGCAAGTAATTTTATTCATATTTATATGGACTAAATAGCCAATTAAAAGGCAGAGATTGTCAACAGGATGAAAAAATAAGGCTCAATATATAAAGAATCAAGAATACAAAGAATAGTTAAGAATATAAAGTATAAAATGACAAATTTTATCATAGAACAGGAATACATTAAAAATAATCAAAAATATGTAAACCCATAAAAGAGGTGAAAATTCAAGAACACCCAAGTGAACTTAATTCAGAAAGCAGTAATTCTTTGACAGGAGGATTATTGGTCTCTTCACAAAGAAACCAACGTAATGCCAGGAAAACAAATCCTTCATAGACGAGATGAGGAGAAACCAGATGAATTTTTAATGAACTTTTAACAACCTCATATGACATGACAGATTATAATCCAGATGGTTCCAGCCACAGAGCAAGTCTGCAGCTACAACCAAGGGCTTTGAAAGACTGTTTAGCAGTATCTACTGAGGCGCGATGTATACACCTGGTGGCTCAGCAGTTCCATTCCTAGATACATATCTAACAGAAATGCATACATTTGTTCACCCAAAAAAATCTGTGCAAGAATGTTCACAGCAGTGTTATAATTAACAGAAACAACCCAATGCCCACCAATAGTCGCAAAATGAATAAATTATGATATATCAAGAACCAAATACTATTTAGCAATGAGAATTAATGAACTACTACATTCAACAAATGGCTGAAATGCACAAACAATAACATTGAGAGAAAGAAGCCAGATACAAGGACAACCTGTCGCCTTATTTCATTTATGCAAAGTCAAAACCAGAGGAAGCTAATCTCTGGATTTAGAAAACAGGATAGTGGTTACTTTTGGAGGGGGTAGGTAGAGATGGTTGAGTGGAGGGGGGTAGGGGTGCCCCAAGGGCTGGTAATATTCTGTTTCTTGATATAATGGTGGTTATATGGATCTATCTTTACTTTGTGAAAATTCACCAAATTGAACTCTTTTGGTCTGGGCACTTGCCTTTATGCATGTTATAATGTAAGAATTAAGTTTATTTTTAAGAAGAGAAAGGCATATACCTTATGAGACATATGATTTGCAAAAATATACAAAGGCGAATAACAATGTAGAGTGAGTGGGTGGACGGGTAGACAGATAGTTGATGGATGAATGGACAGACTGCCGAATGCACAATTGAATAGATTCATATCCTCTAATACTATTTGAACAAAGAAAGCTGCTGTGGCCTGAAACCCCTATCCCGAGGGATATAAGGTTTATGCCAATTTATGTTCTAACAGGGACAGAGACAGGAAGGGCCATGGGGCATTGCTGAGCTTCAGTAGGACCCATACCAATGGCATCGCCAGAGAGTCTCCAAGCCTTGATGTCCTGGTCCTGGCCAGCACTGATCACCAGCTGGTAGCTGTCCACATACAGGATGTCTGCCACACTATCCAAATGGCCCCTCCAGGTTATCAGAAGCTTGGGGGGAGTCAGGGAAATGGTCTGGCCAGCCATGATCTACAGGAGACAGTACAGGAGAATTACTTATAGCAAGACCTTCATACAGGCTCATCAGAAGGCACCTGGGTCTAGAGGAAGCTGAGCCCTCTAGAAGGACCCTAGGTCAGGGGCCAGGGTTCTAGTTCTAGACCCATTCCCGCATTAACTGTCTGGTGACCTAAGGTTTCCAGCACGTCTTTGGACCTCACTGGCCCCTTTGGTAAAATCCTAAAAAGCGCCCTGGTCGGTTTTTCTCAGCGGTTAGAGCGTCAGCCCACAGACCAGAGTCCTGGGTTCATTTCCCACTAAGGGCATGTACCTCGATTACAGTTTGTCTCTGCACGGGTTGGGGTCGTGTGGGTGGCAACCACTACATGTGTATTTCTCACATCGATGTTTCTCTCTCTTCCCCCATTTCTCCCTCCTGCTCTATCAGAGGATAAATGCAAAAATGTCCTCGGGTGAGGATAAAAAAAAGGAGATCATAAAAAGCATTTACACATTGCTATATTATTTACCAGTGGCCTCTCAACAGATTAATCCATTTGAATATAACAACATTATAGGATGTGTATGAGTTTCACCTTTTCGCAAAGGAGAAAGGTGAGTCAGAAATGCTCGGTAACTGGTCTAAAGCCACGTGCCTAGAAAGTGATGGGGTCAGGACAAGAATCCAGGTCTTCTAAAGCTATCCACTTGGGCATTGGGGGTAGAATAGGGTGAGTAAGAGGGTGAGATATCAGGTTAGGTTGTACTATGAAAGAATAAACTCTTCTTAACCAAAAAATGAGCGAACATATCCAAGACCATAATTAAATAAAACAAGATTAATGAAAGAGGACATATTTCACCATATTCAAGTATGTTAAGTCACAATAGTACACTCTTTAAGAAGAACAATGGAAGTTCTTCCTTCAGCAGCACATAGACTAAAATTGGAACAATACAGAGAAGACTAGTGTGGCCCCTGAACAAGGATGACATGCAAATTCGTGAAGTAGTCCATATTTTTTTAGAAGAAAAAAAAAAAAGAACAATGGGCCCGGCCGGTGTGGCTCACTGGTTGAGCATCAACCCATGCACCAAGAGGTCGCTGGTTCGATTCCCAGACAGGGCCCATGCCCAGGTTGTGGGCCCAATCCCCAGTGGGGGGCATGCAGGAGGCGGCCAATTGATGTTCTCGCTCATTGATGTTTTGTTTTCTCTCACTGATATTTTTTCTCTCTCTCCTTCTCCCTTCCTCTTTCTCTAAAGTCAATAAAGAAAAAAATAAAAATAAAAAGAACAATGGACGACAATAGAGAGCTCAAAAACCAACCCAAATAAAACTTTGGTAAATGATAAAAATGGTGGGAAAGCGGTGGTAACACAGAGCAGGACCCAGTGAACAGTGCTGGAATACCTGATGAACTATTAAGAGAAACTTAAATTATTGTCATATATCTTACAACTAAATAAACAGTAGACAGGTTGAAGAATTTTTTTGTAATGAAACCGTAAAATATCTAAAAGAAAGTATGAGTGAATCTTTAGCTTACCCCTGAATAAGAAAGTGATAGAAAGACGATGGAAATATCACAATGGGGAAAAAAATTGACCACAAAAAAATATTGTAATTTTAAAAGCATCATAAATGAAATTAAAAGGCAAATAACAAATTGGGGGAAAATATTTGCAATACATGTGACAGACGATGAGTTAATACCTTTTAATATATTTTTAAATAATTATACATCATTTACAAAAGATGGCTACCCAATAGAAAAATGGGCAAAGGACCTGCAGAGGCAATTCACAAAAGTATACACGGCCAATAAAATAGGGAAATATGGCAACATCTCTAATAAGCAGATATCTTAATTAAAATCAGAAGAAATCATTTGTCTAAAAATCAGCCAAAAGGGTGTTTGTTTTGTTTTGCTTTTCACTGCAAACATTTATTTATGTATTGAATGCCTTCTCTATGCAAAGCACTCTGATAGACCCAGGGGCCCTCACTCCGATGAATACTGCTAATGCTTAATACCTTATGTTGTGAAAAATAAAGCAAAACTGATTAATAAGTTGGAAAACTGTATAAACTTTCTGGAGTGAAGTTTGGCAGTACCCATTAAAAGTCTGACTTCTTTCACTTTAATTGGTTGAAGAACCCCCCCATTTTGTAGCGAATAAATGTAATCTATTCATTTCCAATGCTGGATATTACTCTGTACAGTCTTTATACCACAATTTATTTTTCCGGTCTACGTCGATGGGCATTTGTGTTGTTTCAAATGTGAAATTATTGCAAATAGTAATCCTATCAAAATTCTTATTCATATTTCTTCAAGCATAGATTTCTCTTGGGTGTAAACCTAGGAGTTGAGGTGCTGGATTATAAAATAGGCTCCTCCAGCCTTCGTAGCTACAGTTCCCCAAACAGTTCCCCTAAGTGATTATACCAATTCACATTCCTCCCAGAAGTGGAAATTCCAGTTGATCCGTACCCTTGCCAACATTTGGTATTGCCTGTCTTTAGTTTTGGTCATTCTAGTGGGTGTGTAGTGGAATCACTTTGTGGCTTTAATTTTGCATTTTCCTGATAACTAATAAAAAGGTGCTCAACTCCATTAGTCATCAGGAAAATATCAATTTTGAACTACGTAAATGTATTAACTGCTCAAGATAATACGTAAATATTTTTATTGTTTTTTTAAAAGAATGCATGACTCCAGGGCCCTCACTGTAATCATCAAAGCCCATGGAAAGTGTGTGTGTGTATTTGATGTGTGCATACTTGTGTTTACTGGTAAATGGTGACTTCTGGTTAATGAAAACTTGTCCACATCAACCAGACAACCTTGGACAGGAAACATGATAGAATCTCAGTATGAGAACCATGGTCCCAGCTCATTAGTGGAGCTCGAAGGCACTTTTTCGAGTAATTGTCCAGGACTCTTCCTACCTTCTTCTCCACCAAGGGGATGCTGTATGGGAGGTTGGTCTGGACTGGTTTAGGAATTAAGTACTGGAACTTGTTTTTTCTACGGGGTTGAGATGACTGCCCGTCGGTAGCTGTGCAATAATCCTTGATGTCCCAGATCTAGGCACAAAGCGTGAGTTAGAGGCCCACCACCACTCCACCCTGCACCAGCTCACTCTGTGGACCCCTCCCAGACCACCTCTCTTCACGTCAGTGGGGCAGTTCTTACTCACACCTCTGAGATCCCCAGATGCCCAGGGCCAGAAGGGGTCCAAGTAATCGTCTAGGTCAGACCCCTCCGCTAGTGTGCAGAGAGGGTGAGACTGGCCCAGGACAAGACACTCTTGCCTGTGTCTCACCACAAGGAGTGAAATCAGTTCTGGAGACCACTGATCACAGATAAGAAGCATAGCTGGGGGATGAGGGAGTTGTGGGAAGACAATGACGGAGCACAGGATTCACTGGGGAAGGCTTCTTGGAGGGGCCTTCCAAACCAAACCCTCACTCATTTCACAAAAGCACACTGGAACAGGAGAGGACTCCTAAGGTAACCCATTCTACTGCCCACGGTTTCACAAGTGAAACCACACCCAGAGGGGGTCGGGACTAGCCTAGGACCACCTGCGGCAAAGAGGCGGCTAAAGTTTGGCTGACGCCAGCCCCCAGGGCTCAGTGCCAGTTTTCCTCACCTTGATGTGCCCTTTACTATCCCCTGTGACAAGGATGCAGTCATTTTCATCAGTGGCCATGGCACCCACGACCACGTCCCCATTGTCTTTGGTGTCCACGGGGAACTTCCCCAACAGGCCTTCGTTCCCGTAGATGGACCAGGCGTAGATGTAGCCGTCAATGCAGCTGCTCAGGAGGGCGGCCGAGTGTGGCAGGCGAGGCCTGCTCTGCAGGAAGATGATCTGTGTGGGGAAGTGGGCCTGCTCAGCTGGTCGCTGTCACCAGTGCTCAGGGGCCTGCCTGGCAGGCCACCACACTGACCTGGTCCCCCAACCTCCTGGGAGCCCAGCAAGAATGGTGATGGGACACCACCCTTCCTACCTCACTGGTGACCAGGGACATTTTGCTGAACTATAAGCTCCTTGAGGGCAAGGATTTGTGGAGTTTTTGTTTTTTTTTATCCTCACTCAAGGACACTTTTCCATTTTTTATTCAGATAGAGTGGGAGGAAGAGAGAGAGAGAGAGAGAGAAACATCGATGTGAAAGGGAAACATCGAGTGGCTGCCTCCCGCACGGCCCTGACCCAACCAGGGCCGGGGACAAACTGCAACGGAGGTACGCGCCCTTAGCAGGAACCGAACCGGGGTCTCTCTGGACCACAGGCCAACGCTCTACCACTGAGTCAAACCGGCCAGGGCTGTGTCTTTTTGTTGTTGTTGTTCATAACTTTATCCTCAGCAATATGACGGTGCCTGACACATGGTACGTGATCAATGAATGGTTGTTGGATTTTCCTAAGGCTCAAACAAGATTTTCTAAGACCTGTAACTCGACTCAAAGCGATTTGGAGGATGAGTCCATTCACCTTCATATATCACTACAGTGAAACGTTTCTGTCTTCCGACACATTGCCAAAAAGGCACTTTAACCAAATTCTTCAAGTCTTGTTTGGATCATGCCCTTTGCTAATTCGCCCCTGTGCTCAAGTTCACCTTCCACGTCGCTCCTGGGGCTCCCGTGGGGGCCACAGTGGGGAGTTACTCTGTATGACGCGCATGCGAAGAGGGCCGCTCGCCGGCACCCACCACGCGTGAGCAGAGAGCACAGTCAGGGGTGGGAAGCCCAGCAGGCCAGACAGGGAAACTGGAGGCTCTCTGACTCGTGCTAAGTCAGAAATTACAGCGTAGCGGCCCACGTGTTCCCACAACTGTCTCTAACAACACAACCACCTCCTTTACTCTTGTCCCGAGGTCCAAAACAAAACGCTCAACCTGCTTCCCGTTGACCCGGCTGCCACAGCACCAGGAGTGCCTAAGCCGAAGACAAAGGCACGCGTTTCCCCATGTTGGCAAGTGTACTTGTGCGCTGTACACAGTGTGGACAGCACGGGCAGATGAGAAAAAGTCAAATCACCCACAGGATCCCAATAACCAGAATAATCACCAATAAGATGTTAATGCAGTTCCTTCCAGCTTTCTTACAATTACTGGTCTATAAAGACTTTTGTCACCTCTTTTAAAATTATAAGATATACATGCACGAATAGACAAATATACCAATGGGATAATAGAGAGGATCCAGAAATAGACTATAGAAGATTATCATATATAATAATGATAGAACTTTAAGACAGGGAAGAAAAGATAAAACTATTCAATAACTGGTGTTTGAATAACTGGCTACCAGTTGAGAAAGAAAAGAACAAGTAGTTTCATACATCACACCACACACAAAGTTACTTAGATGGAACAAAAGCTGACTCGAAATATATAAATCATAACTGTCTAGAAGAAAATATAAGATCACATTTTCCTATGATTATAAACCTCAGTGTGATACCACAGAGGCAAAGGATTCATTTCCAGAGCATATAAAGAGCTTGAGATTAATACCAAAAAAAATTTAAGTATATGAATAGACATTTATTTCATTGAATTAAATGACAAATATGTAACAAGTTCAATATCACAAATAATCAAAGAAATATCCCCCCATACCCCAGCACAACTATGATCTGAATTTTCACTGGGCTCACAGCAGGAACTTAGGAAACCCATGTAGTCTCTAAATTACCCTACTTTGCAGATTAAAGCTGGAAGGGGCCTAGGGGTCACCTGTCCAGAGGCGATAGCACAGCAAGAGGTGTTCAGGGCCAGAAAGGGGGAAGGTACAGGAGGAACTGAGAACAGAGATGACCCAACCCCCTCATATGTCACCAACACCCTACCAGAGCACAGGAGGGCATTTAACAGTGGATTCTGGAAATGCCACTTTTCTGCCTTCCCAGTCCAGGCCCCAAGCAGGAGGGGACACTGCTCACCTCCCTAGACAACCCCCCAAATCTGTGAAGCTTCCCCCAGACACAGCAGCCCTGAACCCAAGCCCTGAACAGTACCAGCATCTCCACCATCCTCTCCAGGCCCTGGGAGAACCAGGCTGGGCCCCAGACTCCCAAATTCATAGGCACTACATCTCCCAACCCCACCCCACTGTTCAGCCCGGCTCACACCCCAGACCCTGCCTGAGCGCGGCCCACCTTCTCCACCGATGAGTTCAACTGTAGGAACTCCTTCTTCTGCAATTCCCCCCTCCTCCGCTCGTCCTCGTGGAGGAGCGCCTCTCTGCCGGAATACATCCTCAGCTTGAGGCTGCCCGCACTGTGTGGTTTCTGGAAAGAGAAGGCGCCTCCCAGGTCATCATAAGGGGTCTCCCTGGCCTGTGGGGAACAGAGCCCAGAGGCAGGCGCTGCAAGAGCAGCCACCGGTCCGCAGCAGACACACCTGTGGAAGGCATAGCTGGTGTCTAACAGAGCCTGGGTCCGAGAGACCTGAGTGTGCTTCTGGGGAAGCCCTCCTTTGTCCTGGAAGAGACTCCCTGGCTAAAGGTGAGGATGAAGGGTGTGCACAGCCGTTGTTCCAGGAGACTTAAATACAGCGGTACAACCCTGATCCTCGGAGATGGTATGAGCGCCTGGTAGTGACACCCAGTGTCTGCCCCTTACAGCAGAACTGAGTCCCGGCAGAACTGAGTTCCAGACTACCCTGTGCCTGACAGATAGTGCGTGTTTGGGGAGGGTGGAGTTTCTCGTTCAAGTCTCAGTTCCCAGGAATGAGGGTCAGACCTTAACTGCTGAAGACACTCTGACTGGCTTCCAAGTCCCACACAAGAAATATTACTGTCTTCACTGCAGGGTCTGAGGCCAAACCCAGCGAGGAGGAGGAGAGAAGCTCCTGCACTTTCTCCTTACTCCCCCCTCCCCAAATAGGACCATCAGTCAAGCCTGGAAGGGTTTATCCTGGGGCAGACACCAGGGCTCAGAGCAGGAGGGAAGAGGTTTGCCTGCACCTGGGAGTCCAGCCTCCAGGGAGGTAAGACTTGTTGGGGAGGAAGGTGAGCCCTTCAGGCTCATCTCTGCTGGGGCAACATGAGCTGGAAGAGAGAAAGCAGCCCGGGCTCTAACGTTGGGTCTGGTATTGATTCTGCGCTGGGAAGGGACCATGGCAGCAGAGTGGGTTGGATACCATGAGCCCAATCAGGGAGGTGCCCTGCCCAGCCCACAACACTCAAGAGGAGTGAGTTAACAGACCTAAAGGCGTTGTGGAGAAAGTGCCTCCGGAGAAGGAAGAAACACGCAGGAGGGAAACTCAGGTGGCTAGAGAGGAAGGGTGGCCACCTGGTTCAGCTCTTGCTCCCACCTGCAGGGGCACAGGCTTATCCAGCTCCTTGTCTCTGGGGTGTCTCATCACAGGGGGCGCTGACGTCAGGTTCCGTCTCAGGCTGGTGTTGGCCACAGTCTTCGTGCTGGGCGCCAGAGGCTGCACAGAGGTTCTGTACGCCCACTTCTTTTGCTCCTTACAGGGCTTGCAGGCTCCCTGGCTCATGAATGAGCTGTAGTCCTCTTCTTGCACCTGTGCCAGAGCGAGAACAGCCCCTGGGGCACGGCAGTATCCCAGAGGGAAATGCAGGGTCTCCCTGGCCCATCTCCCAGAAACCAAGGCACACCTCTCAGAAGCCAAGTACCCTTAGAGGCATCAAACCCCGAGCTTATGACCCTGTCCCTGGGCCAACCTCTAGTGCCCTAAGTACCCACAGGCAGGAGACAGCTCCCATGAGGGACTCAGTCTCCCCATCTGTAAAATGGACAGTGGTTTCTAACTCTTTTTGAGGCTGTTTTTTATCTTGAGGGAAACTCCAAAGTATAAAATAGATAAAAAGCTGGGAGAAGCCCCTACAACAGCCTCTCAGCATCTCTCCCAACATGTTCCAAACACTACTAGATGAGGTGACCCCACAGGCCCTCCCAGCTTTAATTTGCAAAGATATGGCAATTCAGAGACTGTGTAAGTTTCCTAAGTCCCTGCCATGAGCTCAGTGAGCCCGGAGTGGTAATGTGTCGTAGGAACAGGTAAGATGCGAGCCATCTTCCAGGACAGAGTAATCTACTGGAGAGAACAGAACCAGTACCCCAGACTCTGGAGTCAGACTGCCTGGGTTTGATCTATCATTTCTTGGCTGTGTGACCTTAGGCAAGATGCCCAACCTCTCTGTGCTTCAGTTTCCTCATCTGTCAAATGAGGATAATTATAGAAACTACCACCTACCCACCTATCCAGCTCCCAACCTCCTCCAGAAAAAGTCACCACTGTCCCCTCTACTTCCTGGGATGCTCCCTCCCCCCTCCCCCCCAGGCCCCATGTGATTCTGGCCCACAGCTAAGAGAAAGAAGAGAGAAGAGTGCATTTCTATTGGCCACACCTTCTTAGGCAGCATGGGTGTGGGGCTCTCAGAGGCATTGAATTTGAGGACGGGCTTGAACAGATTGACATTCCACAAGAAGATGTCCCCGTTGTAGGAGGAGGTCCCGAGGAACTGGTTCTGGTACTTGGCCACGCTCAGGACGTCCTCCGTGTGGAAGGTCTGCCACTGGTGGTACTGGAGCACCGACTTGGTCTTGTGGGACCTGCACACAGGCCAGAGGCGGGAGCTGAGAGTTCAGCCTTAAAGCTCCATTGCAGGAACACTGATCGGAGGAGGGCACTCCGAGGTTGGAGCAGGGCTGAAGTTCTGCCCCGCTGACCTCATTTACTGAGCACCTACGATGTGTCCACTGTAAAGGCCCTGTCCTAGGGCTTTATGCAACTAATCTTACAGATTTGCGCCATTTAGCCCTGGCCAGTTTGGCTCAGCGGTTGAGTGTCAGCCTGCAGACCAGAGAGTCCTGGGTTCGGTTCCCGCTAGGGGCACGTACCACAAAAAAAAACAAAAAACTTCAGATTTGTGCCATTTAGTCACCTGAGTAAGGATCAGGTTTAGAGAAGGGGAAAACATTGCCCTAGAAAGGCCCTCTGAGGAGAAAGGGGCCTTGCTCATATATTTCTTCCCTCTGCCTGCAATGTTCCTACTATTCCAAGCTCCTTGCTGCTTCCGGAGACCCTCCTGCTCACTCTTCAGATCCCACTCCACCCACGAAATCCTTGATGAGCTTTTTCCGACCGCCCGAGATTAAATCAGATTTCTGACCACCCCCTCCCTCGCCATAGAATGTTTCATTCTCAGTAGAATGTATCATTATAAATGAAGTTATTTGATCTGCATCTGTATCGGCCTGGAAGCTCCAGGAGGATGGGGAATCATCATTCTTGTCCATACCCATCCCCAGCACCACCACAAAGCCCAGAGCGCATTACCTTAAGGAGTGGAGGATAAATGGTGGATGAGCAGATGAAGCACTGGACGTTACCCACCACTGACTTCCTGCCCGGTGCTCCCACCACCTGCAGAGCCAGGAATGAGGGAGCTGCCCACCCACACGCACCCTTGCTACTCACACGAAACAAGTGATTCTCCTGTTCCACCCGGTCACGTAGAACACTTTATTCATGTGCACAATGCCACTGATCTGTGGAAGGTGGAGGAAAACAGAACTCTAAGGCACCTCAGAGAAAACCAACCACTCCAGGCTCGAACGTCTTCCTAATCATACCAAGCGAGAAGCCAGCACTCTCCGTGTAACGGGAATTCTCTAGAGGTGATACCACCACATGTGTGGTTTTTTATATATTTTCATTGATTTTAGAGAGAGGGGAAAGGAGAGGGAGAGAAAGAGAGAGAGAAACATTGATGAGACAGAAAAACACCCACCAGCCACCCCCGCATACCCCTTACTGGAGGCTGAGCCCACAACCTGGGCACATGCCCCGACCGACCAGGAATTGAACCGGCAACCTCCTGGTGCATGGAATGACACTCAAACAACTGAGCCACACTGGCCAGGGACTACCACGTATTTTTCAGGGTGTTCTCACATGCCATTATCGCAATTGATGGACTTAGAGGAGGCAGATAGGGTAGGTACCCATGTCCACTTTATAGGGGATAACTGGAAAACAGACAAGTGACTTGGCTAAGGTCAAATGACTGAGTGGTAAGATTTGGACTAGTACTCAGATCCCTGACTTCTTGACCAGGTGCTCCTCTTGAGTTGGTTAAAGGACTGTGTTTTAGGGGTTAGTAATGGCCTCATGTCCCAAAGTGGGACTGCTGGCTTTGCACTATGCCACACTCACAAACTGTCCCTGTATCCCTGCCAGGCATTTCTCAAGCAGGGTTCAACACGGGTGGCTCCAAAACCCTTAAGCCACTGCTAGGCCTGTGGTCCCAAGCTCTCGTCCATGGGATCAGACGCACTTCCAAACTGGAAGCAGGAGCAGCTAACATTTGCAGAACGCCCACGAGGGACAGGTGCAGGTCAGGGAGGCATGACGCCGCACAGCCCATTGCACAGCCTTTCGGGGAGGCATACAGAACAGCGGGCCCGGAGTCACAGGAGCTGTGCTTTGCTTCTCAAGGACCCGCTGCCCCCCAACCCCATCTGATGGGTCAGACTGACCTCCAGCTTGTCTGGGTTGGGGAAGGTCAGCAGGGATTCACCAGTGCTGTAGTTCCACATCTTCAGCGTGCCATCACGCAAACCCGTGAGCAGGCGCCGCTCGGACTCATCCAGGGACATGGCAGTCAGCTCCACTTGCTGGTCGCAGGTCACAGAGAACTCCATCATCCTCTTGCCTGTCATGATCTCCCACACATTCACTACTCCGCTCACAGAGCCGCTCACCACCTGTGGGGGAGCGCACGGTCTGGGCTTCTGCAGAGGAGAGTGCCTCCTCTCCCAAGGGTGGCCTCCACCTGCAGCCCCCCTCCATGCACTGAGAAGATGGGCGTTCAGGGACCCCTGCTGTCAGATCACCCCTCTTGAAAACAGGCCTTCCTCTACTCTGAGCACAGGACAGTGCAAGCCAGACCAGCTCCTTCAGAAGGCCGGTTGGTGAAATCCCCTTTAACTCAGAAACGGTGTTTATCAGGCCCAGCCAGTGTGGCTCAGCGGACTGAGGGTCAATCCATGGACTGAGAGGTCCCAGGGCACATGCCTGGGTTACAGGCTCGATCCCCAGGAGGAACGTGCAGGAGGCAGCCAATCGATGTTTCTCTCTCACATTGATGTTTCTCTCTCTCCCTTCCGCTCTCTCTAAAAAATCAATAAAAACATATTTTTTAAAAAAAGAAAAAGAATGGTGTTTATCAGAATCTATCCAGAGAAAATAATCTCTAAGTCAGAAAAAGCTTTTTTTTTTTTCCCTCACCCAAGGACATTTTTTCCATTTTTGTTGTTGTTGTTCAGATAGAGTGGGAGGGAGAGAGAGAGGAAGAGAGAGAAACATCGATGTAAAAGGGACACATCGAGTGGCTGCTTCCCGCACGACCCCAACCAGGGCCAGGGATGAAATCACAACCAGGGTACGTGCCCTTGACCGGAATCACACCCGTGACTCATTGGTCCTCGAGCCGATGCTCTAACCACTGAGCCAAAGCGGCCAGGGCTGAAAAAAGGTTTTTATTGAGAGTAAAAGACGGTCACTCGCCCTGGCCAGTTTGGCTCAGCGGTTAAATCATCGGCCTGTGCCTGGAAAGACGGTCACTCCACAGAGTGCAACATTTTGCGGACACTACAAGCATTCCAATGCAACAGTAGTAGTGAGGCTATTTCAGACCAACCCTCCTGGTGAGAATGTATAGAAAAGCTGAGGTTGGTGGTTAAAACTGTTTGAAGGAACTGAAGAGCCCAAAGTGTGCAGGACGGTGGTGCTGGGAGCCAGAACCAGAGGGAAGTGCTGAGAGATGAGCTCTGGCTTCACATAGCCCAAGGCCACCTCTGCAGCAGACACAGCCTGCCCTGCCCAGACCCCGGGCCAGAAAAGGGGACCAAGTGGAAGCGAGCAGAGGGCCCAGGAGCCCTGTCTGTCCCTACATCTCGGAAACCACGTGCCCAGTTGTCCTGTCCAGCCCAGACGTTCCTACTCAGGACCGGGGTGCCGCCCACAGCCTGGGCCCCTCTCTTCCCATAGTGGACAAAGTTGAACTAGGGCTTCCCTGGAAAACGACGCCCAGGAACGGCACCCTGCAACTCAGGGACCCTGCAGAGCAGCTCGCCCCTAGTGTTCTATCTCACACCTGCGTGAAGAAGGCGGCCTGTCCAGAAGGGACCTGAGGCGGCAGCAAGGCTCAGAGGCATCAGGCAGTCCGCCGGCCAAGCGGCGTGCTCCCATCTCATCCTGGGCCAGCCCCTCTGCAGGGCTGCTTCTGGTTCGGACCTCGGACCTCGCTGCCCCCCCCACCACCACAGCTATGAAAGTTCACACCACCCTGCCACCTGCCCTGACTGCCCCGGGGATCTGGACTCGCCAGGAGCTCTGGGTCCTGCCCCATGTTCCCAGCGCTCCTGCCAGCCCCAGAGATGAGCTCCAGCCCACCCACCTGCTTAAAAATCTTGCTGTAGAGGACAGCGCACATGGGCATGCTGTAAGTTGTGATCTTCTCCTCGTGTTTCCCAGACCCTTCGGTCTCCATGTACCCTTTCAGGATCCCAATCTGTAATGAGGAGGGGCAGACAGCTGGGCAGTCCAAAGGGCTCTGCCCTCAGTGACAGGCCCTGGGAGAAACTTCCAATAAATTGAGACATCGAGACATCCTGACTACACACAGGCCTGAGCCTAGCAAGGCCCCTCTCATCCCTGCTCCATGGCCCTGCTCCCCGAGATCGGGGTTCCCAAACCCTAGTGTTCCTAGGACCCCAAAGTCCAAGGTCCTTCTTGTAACTTCTAAGACTATACAGCCGCAAGCTGGTATCTCCTCCTCTAGGAAGTCTTCCTTGACTGCCCCTGCCCCAGGCTAGGCTAAGGATCTTTTTCCTGTGCTCCATGAAGCACCTAGCATGCTTGTCCATCATAATACATTGCATTTTCTACTGACATTATTTGTTCTCCTTCTACCCCACAGGTTCCTCAAGGGATGGGACAGTATCTAATTAATATATTCTCTGCTCCTGGCAAAGAGCAGAGGGTTGGTAATGTTTGATAACCTGCAATGAGCTTCAAAGGTCTATTTAATTCAACAATGCTGGCAGCCAGTCTAGCACTCGGCTGAGGTGAAGGAACCACAACCTCCCATCTCAAGAAAACTGCCATCTGGGAGAAAGCCAGCCAAGGGCACAAGGACAATATGTGTGTCTGTCCCTTGCCAGGGTGGCCTGGCCAACAGAGGGTACAAGGCCTCGGTGGAGCTACCCCTAACTCTCAACCACAAATGACACCCTTGCTCCCTTTCCAGACCAAACCTTCCCACATATAGGCTGCTGGTTGCCCACGCAGCTCTCTCTGCTCCCATCTTGTCACAGCCGCCACCCTGCACCGGTAGCCCCGTCTTCTCCACTCTGCCCTGTCCTCGGGGTCGGGGTCAGCACAGGCTGCACTGGGCACCAGTGGGGTCGAGCTCACAGCGGGTCTGCACGTGAGTCTCTCCAGGTTCTCTCCTGCACAGGGGCTGCTCGGGTGCGGCCTGCCTTCCTGGAGTTCACAGTGTATCAGGAGCCACGCAAGGGTGACAGGACAGTTTAAGGGCTGTAATCATGGGGAGGCACAGGTCCAGGGGAGCTTGGATGGGGAGCTCCTAACTCAGCCTGGGGGTCAGGGGGTGCTTCCAAGATGTACAGGTCAGGAAAAGAGCAGACAGAGCAGCACCATAGAGGGTGACAGGCTGGGGGCCTAGAAATAGTCCTCCAGGAAATTCCAAGAGATGGGAGCCTCACAGGCCAGGCCTCAGAGTCTAGCAGCTTCGGCCTCACAGCGTCATGAAGAGCAGTCTGAGGAGGGACAGTCTGTGACCATCCCTCGAGGACTTCAGACCCCGCCACAGGGGCCACCCGCAGTGTGCGGCCCCCACGCGGCCTCCTGCCCAGAGCTCACTGAATAGGTGCAGCAGATGAGGCTGTTGTCGCTCTTCTGGAGGTAGGCGCTGGTGATGGGGCAGTTTCCCAGGGCAAAAAGCCTCCCACAGAAGGACTGGAGGCATATATACTCCTGCAAGTCCCACACGCGGATGTTCTGGGGGTAGGAAACAGGCAGAGAGGTCAAGAGTGGGAGGCAGCTGGCACCTGAGGCCTTGGGATATGAGCTGAGTCGGGGCCACAGTGCAATCACCCCCCACACACACACTAAGTGTCTGCTGTGGATCCCGACCCCACAACAGAGACGTTGTCTTACTCTCTTAGGAGGAAACCACCTGCCCCCAGCCCTCCCCCAGGATCTCTGCCCTGCTCGAGCAGCTGACATTCAGTGCTGGAGGGCCAAGCAAGGCAGCGTGTGCCTCTGCAGACCCTCACAGCGCCCACTCCAGCCTCCTCAAGCAAAGCCAGGTGGGATGCAGAGCCCAGAAGGCCCACCTGTCCCCAGAGGATCCCCCTTGAGTTTATCCCAGGTTGAGAAGTGTCCCTAGAGAGGCCCCCGCAGAAGCCCCTCCAGCACACTCCTGGCGTGGAGGCACGGGCTGTGAGCTGGAAAGGCATGGACTGGGGATCTACCCCCGGGGTCTGCCCATCGCTGGCCATGAGGATTTTGACAAGCCCATCCTCAGTTCTTCAGCATTGGCATGATGCCCAGGCCTGCTGGGGGAATTCCAGAAAACAGCAAGTATGAGGATGTGCTGGGGATGGTGGCCTGGGTGATCCTGAGGGTGCCGATTCTCAATCAACCAAGTCCTGGAAGACACAAACCTGTCCCCTGAAGGAGGGCATTTGGAACCACTGGCTGCCCTCCCACACTAGCCAGAATGCACCAGTGGCCCAGCAGGTGGGCAGTCCCCTGAACCAGTAGCTGTACAGAGACAAAGTGACAAGGGCCCTGAGCTGGGGAGCCCTGGGCATTGGAAAAGTTCCAGTCAGTTCCTGACAACCAGAGCAGTCGAGAAGGGGCCCCTAGGAGACCTCCAGGTGCAAGTTTGGGTCTGGGGGTGGGGTGGAGGCAGGGAAGGGCTCACATGTATTGTGTGCCAACTATGTGCCAGACTCAACACTGCTCTTTACCCCGAGTTCTCCTCTAAGCCAGTGACAACCATTCCATGAGCGGGAAGACTGAGAACCGGTAAGGAAGGCCGTTGCCCAGGACCACAGCCAGGTCACAGCTGGGCTCCCGGTAACTCCACCCAGGCATCTCCCTCTGGACCCGAGGCCTGTGTGAGACCACGAGCAGAGAGGTCGCACCATTCCCCCTGGTCCTCAGGCTCTTGCCAACTGCTGGCCCCCTGGCTGGTCAAGCTAGACCACTGTCCCCAGGCAAACGTCTCTGCAGGGAACAGGAACTAGTTGGGGGGCAGAGGGCCATGCTCACGAGGGCAGCACCTTGTCCTTGGAGATGCTGAGGAGGATGCTGCTGTTCTTGTCGTGCACCAGGATGTGCGTCACCGAGGTCTGATGTCCCTTCAGAATCCACATAGGCTTTTTCGAGAAGAAAGGGTTCCACAGGCGGATGAGGGGGTCATAGCCACCAGTCACTGGGGTAAAAAAAAATGAGTATCAGCTCTGGCCAGTGTGGTTCAGTGGTTAGAGCGTTAGCCCACACACTGAAGGGTTATGGGTTCAAGTCCTGGTCAAGGGCATGTACCTGGGTTGCAGGTTTGATCTCTGGCCCTGGTTGGGGCACATGAGGAAGGCAGCCAATCTATGTGTCTCTCTCACATTGATGTCTCTCTCTCTCTCTCTCTCTCTCTCTCTTTCCCCCTTACCTCCCTTCTACTATCTCTAAAAATCAATGGAAAGAAATATCCTCGGGTGAGAATTAAAAATTACAAAAAGAGTACCAGCCACTGGAGGCCCATGCTGGGATCTTCTCCAGGGGACAGGTATTGGATCCCAGCCAGGCTTGGCAGATGTTGCTACCATCCACACACACACACAGGTGCCCATGAGTGGGGACCAGAGTGGCAGGAGAGGCTAGACAGAGGCAGAGGCTGCAAGACCTCCTCCTTGGCTCCCACGGTCCCCATGCCTCCAGCAGCCTCACCCCAGTTCTGCCAGGCCACCAGCTTCTGCGTGACGTGAAGATTGCTTACCCAGGAAGTTCTTGTCTGGGCAGTAATCAAAGCAAAGAATTCCTTTTCTTATATTCAGCACTGAAAACCTACAATAGCAAAGAAGAAAGGCTGCAGGGCTGAGAGCGGCCTCAGGGAAGCCTCTGAGCCTAGGGTGGGGAGAGCTGGACACAGCGCGGGGGGGGGGGGGGCCAGGAGAATCATAGCTCTCCACCCAAGAGGAGGAGCAGCCCTAGAAGCCCTGCCCAGAGCACACCCTGCAGCTGAGTCTGGGCCTCAGGTCTCAGCTCCAAGCCAGCAGCTCGGGAAAGGCATGCACCCCTCACCTACAGATAGAGCGGCCGCAGCAGCAACCGCTTACAGCTGTTACCACATCTGCCTCGCTCCAGGGCACACTTCACTTGATCTTCACCTCAACTATAGTGGGGCAGGTGTCTCCCCAACCACAACACAAGTCAAAAGGGAAGGGGTTCCAGGGTCAGGGGAAAGGGAAGAAAACTCCAGGGTGTCATGCTCTTACTCTGTGCTGGTCCCAGTATAGGGTGCTGTCTCGTGTGTTACCTGGACCCCTCATATAACCCTGAAGAGTGTCACTGGCTCTGTGCCACAACGAAGACACAGAAAGGAGACTGGGCAGTGTGGCTTAGTGGATTGAGCATCATCCTACGGACTGAGAGGTCCTGCTTTGATTCCCGGTCAGGGCACATGCCCAGCTTGCGGGCTCGATCCCTAGTGTGGGGCGTGCAGGAGGCGGCCAATGGATGTTTCTCTCTCACGTCGATGTTTTGTTATTTCTCTCTCCCTTCCTGTCTCTCTAAAAAATCAATAAAAACATATTTAAGAAAAAGACACAGAAAGGAGAAGTTAGGAGTCTGCACAAGGCCACGAGCTGGTAAGGTGGGAGGTCAGGATTCGGAGCCAGGGTGGCCTTCGCAGGAAGAGGCAGGAGGCTCAGCTCCAGGAAAGGAAGAGGTGTGCAGGGTGGGAGGGGTTTGGAAGGGCCAGGGTGACCCAGGCGGGTTTGTGGGAAGGCCCAGCAGTCCTCACAGACCCAAGAGCCCTGGAAACTCAGTGCTTTTGCACATGCTGTTTCCTATTATCCACATATCCGGCCCCGCCAGCTTCATCTGCTTGAACCCTCCCTTCAAAACTGAACTCAGAGACCTCCAGCTCTCTAATTCAGCATGCCCCCAACGAGCTTGCTTTTGAACTGGCTTCTCCACCACTCCCTGGGGGCCTAAGCCTGTTACCTGAGTGTCACCCTGGAGGCTCCCTCTCCTGGACTCCCCCACATCCCCACAGCCCTGGCCTCTGCTTAGTTCAGGCCCCCCCCTTTCATTTCTGTCAGCCTCTTCACCTCTGTCTTGCTTCCCTCCAATCTGCTCTCCCCTCCACAGCAGGATTCCTCAACAAATCAAAATGTCAGGAAGGACGATTGAATACATGCATTTCATTTATTGTCAGACCAGATACTTCCTTCACAACACCTACATGTTCAGAGAAACCTTCTGGAAGAATGATCCCAAAACGTCACTAGAAATGACTTCAGGCTGATGCACCCACTCATTCACCAGAGAGTTACTGGCTCCCACTCCCTTCCAGGATTAACAGAGGTGTAGATATGAGGCCCTGGCCTTTGCGGAACTTCCTTCTAGAGGGAAGCAGCATGAGCAGTCCATGAACGAGACAGGGAGACGGACATTTAAACTCATGGCAAGTCCCGCAGGAAATAAGCCGGCGGCTTTGACAGGACCACTGGAAACCAGGTCTGCAAATGGCTGAGGAGCAAAAGGGCCTGGAAGGTCAGAGGGGATGCAGTGTGCAGTTCAGATGGGAGATAATAGTGGGTCAGCCCACTTACACAGCACAGGTCCTTCTGCCCCAACCCCAGCTCCTCCCACAGATTCACTGCTGGCTCCAACCACCTGGAACACTCAGCTCAGGCCAGCTGCTGGAAGTCAGACCCTTGGGCCCGCAATGCCTTGGAGGTTGAGGCCCACGCCAAAGGCAGAGTTTGGGTTGGCAGTGCCAGGCCCGACCTGCAGAGGCTACACCCTAGCAGGCCATCCCCAGGGACAGAAAACCAGCAAGCAGTCAATGGCGCCACCTGCCAGACAATATGTGTACTGCATTCAGACAGGAAGGAAGGGTGTGTGTGGGCACATGTTTATAAACATGTCCTCCAAGCAACCCCCAAAATATATCTCAAATCCCTCTATCTCCACCAGACTGTCGACTGCAAGCCACCATATGTACCCTGGATTACTAGTGACATCCTCACTGCTGTCCCCATCTCCGCTCCCGCCCATACACACTACTTGCAACAGAACAACCGAAAGTATGTCAGACCACGCCATCCCTCTGCTCAGAACCATTCTAGAACCCTGTTTACATCTGATTCCAAATAATTGTAAAATTATAATTTTGAGACGCTTGGAGAAAGATTAACTTAGATTAGGTACTAGTGATATTAAAGTATTATAACAGTGCCTCTACTCTTGTGTGTGTGTTTGAAATTTTTCATAATAAAAAATGTTTAAAAAAACAAAAACTTTTTAAAAAAAGTATACCAGGTAGAGAGGAGTGATGCAAAGGCCCTGGGGCAGGAGCCTGAACAGGAGGCTCAGTGTGGCTGGAGTGGAAAGGTAAAAGAGGTGTTCAGGAAGGCAGCAGGGCCCTATCATAGAGGGCCACAGGGCCACAGTGAGGTGATCCCCTGATAGCCTCCTGCTGTTGATATGCAATAAAACAAGAAGCTGAATGAAACACATATCACAGACATGAGGTAATACTACCGCCGAAGCAGAGAGATGAATCTCAGCCAACCCGCTCCAAGCAAAATCCCACCACACTGCCCCCAGTAAAAGTACTGAAGCCAATACCGAAACTCCCACCACATCAGTTTCTCCAAGGCCCCTCCTCCAATCCTTAGCTCAGGACTTGGTGGGAATGTGCACAGAACACTCTGGTTAACAAGACACTGTACTTACAATAAGGCCTGGGATACAACCCCATCTCAAAATTCTGCTCAAGCCAGTCACCTCCCCTCCCTAGGCAAGTTTTCAATCTGCAAAACGAGGAACTAGACCACCATCCCAGGATTGGACTTCCCTCTGGAAAACAACCAGGACAGGAAGGAACAGACAGAGATGGGGCCTAAACTGCCCTCAGCCTCCCCACTGTACCTCACCCAGCTGCACCCTGTTCCCCCAAGACAAGAAGGCTACAGCTCATTATTAGGGAGCAAAATGTCACAGACTCAAAGGCCCCAGGGGATAAAGAGCTGGGGCAATAAGAAAACTGTGGAGGCGGATAGGACTTCCGGTCAAGATGGCGGCATAGGGAAACGTAGTATCGCGTTCTCCCACAACCACATCCAAGTTACAACAAAACTACAGAACAACCATCATCCAAAACCGCCTGAAATCAAGCTGAATGGAAGTCCTACAACTACGCAATTTAAAAAAAAAAAGGCAGCTACATCCAAACCGGTAGGAGGGGCGGCGGCACGAGGGGTGGCGGCAGCGGCGCAGCGGCGGTGCTGCGGCGCGACGGGCTGGTCCCACACCCAAGTGTGGCAGATAAAAATCAGGAGGCTCCCGTGGCTGGGAAGGTCCTTCCTGAGGACTGAGGGGTCCCCGTCCCACACCAGGTGCCCCGCTCAGGTTTCCAGTGCCAGGAAGAGAAGTCCCCATAACTTCTGGCTGGAAAAACCAGCAGAAACTGAGGCTCAGGGAAGCTGACCTGGCTGGAGCCACAGGCAGCTCCCTAAAGGGCCCGCGCACGGACTGGTCGGACTCTCTCCCTCTAAGCTCGGAGGGGAGGCAGCTCGAGGGGCACCAGAGACATACAGGGAAGAACTGAGCTGTTTGGCACTGGAGCGAGGGCTGGAGAGGGGGCTTTCTCGGGGACAAATGTGCTGTAAGAGGCCTTTGTTCCTTTGGTGAGCCCTTCCCTGGGGCGGCAGACAGTCGCCATATCTGGGACTCCAGCAACCTGGCTCAAACTGGTAGCCCCGCCCTGCTGACTCCCTGAGGCCCCGCCCTGCCCCGCCCCACACAACTTTCAAGCCCACCCAAGCTGTTGCTACTTGCTTAACCATAGGATTGGCCTGTCTTGGATCCTGCTTCAGGTTTTTCCTAAATTCTTTCAAACGAGCAGCATCGGGTCTCAGCGAGCCCCATACCTCTCATTAAGTAATACACAGAAACAAACACAGGGAGGCAGCCAAAATGAGGATACAAAGAAACAGGTCCCAAATGAAAGAACAGAACAAAACCCCAAGAAAAGAACTAAGCGAAATGGAGATAAGCAACCTAACAGATGCTGAGTTCAAAATACTGCTTATAAGGATGCTCAATGAACTCAGTGAGGGCCTCAAGAGCATAAAAAAGTACCAGTCAGAAATGATCGCTGCACAGTTAGAAACGAAGGAGGCTTTAACTGAAATAAAGAATAATTTACATAGCTTCAATAATAGAGTACGTAAATCCAAGGAGCAACCCATCGATTTGGAATATAAGGAAGCAAAAAACGCCCAACCAGAACAGCAAAAAGAAAAAAGAATCCAAAAAAATGAGGATAGTGTAAGGAGCCTCTGGGACAACTTCAAGCGTGCCAACATTCGCATCTTGGGGGTGCCGGAAGGAGAAGAGAGAGAACAAGAAATCGAAAACCTGTTTGAAACAATAATGGCAGAAAACTTTCCTAACTTGGTGAAGGAAACAGACATACAAGTCCAGGAAGCACAGAGAGTCCCAAACAAGATGAACCCCAAGATGCCCACACCAAGACACATCATCATCAAAATGCAAAAGGTTCAAGACAAAGAGAGAATCCTAAAAGCAGCAAGAGAAAGGCAGCTAGTTACCTACAAGGGAGTTCCCATTAGGCTGTCAGCTGATTTCTCAGAAGAAACTTTGCAGGCCAGAAGGGAGTGGCAAGAAATATTCAGAGTGATGAAAACCAAGAACCTACAACCAAAATTACTCTATCCTGCAAAGCTGTCATTTAGAATCGATGGACATATAAAAACTTTCCCAGACAAGAAAAAGTTAAAGGAGTTCATCACTACCAAACCGTTATTATATGAAATGATGAAGGGTCTTTTTAAAGAAAAAGATAAAATGTATGAACAAACAAAATGGCAATGAATACATATCTATCGACAATGGAATCTACAAACAAAATGAACAGGAAGAACAGGAACATTCTCATAGATACAGAGAACATTTTGTTGGTTGCCAGTTGGGAAAGGGGTTGGGGGAATGGGTGAAAAAGGTGAAGGGATTAAGAAGCACAAATTCATTGCTAGACTGACAAACCTCAAAGGGAAAGGGGTTGGGGGGGTGGGAAGAAATAAACCAAAGAACTTATATGCATAACCAATGGACACGGACAATAGTTTGGGAAAAGGTGGGAGGGGGGCGGGAGGGGGGAGGAGGGGGTCAATGGGGGAAAAATGTGGAACATCTGTAATACATTTTACATCCAACAATAAAGATGTGGAAAAATAAAATAAATAAATAAATAAATAAAAATAAAATTAACATGATAAAAAAAGAAAGAAAGAAAACTGTGGAGGCGAGGGAAATCCAGCTGGAAGAATCCTCGGGAGGAAGTACCTACTGTAAGTGCCGAGTGAAAGGTGAACACAGATGATAGAACCGGGACTTTTGAAAATGGAGTGAGACAATGGGGTGAGAAAGGGGAGGGAGAAATCACAGGATTCCAGCTTTATTTATAATGCTTTAATTTTTTACAAGGACAATGTATGTACCTGCACTTGTGTGAAAAGGTTGATTTTAAAGGGAGGGAGGGAAAGGAAAAATTCACTTTGGGGTAGAAGAATCTAGAAGGAAGGAAATAATAAGAGCTGCCAGTCACTGAACACACACCACACATCATGTTCAGTAGAATAACCCTGGAGGTAAGTGAGGTAAGAGCAGTTATCACCCTTTTGCAGACCAGGAAACAGAGGTGAAGCCACCCGCATTCACGCCTTGGGTCGGAAAATCGTTTTCTGGCTGCCTACGTATTCTGCGTGCAAGCTTCAATGCGGACTTTCGTCTATCAATTGGTGGGTGAAAGCGGCCCTGTTTGAATTTTGCTGCTGGTGGCAAAGCCAGAATGATGCTGAAAAACCAGACTCCATAAAAGTTCTCACAAGAAAACACTGTGTTAATGGATGTGGTGGCAGATGCTCATTAGACTGATTGTGGTGATCATTTTGCAATATATATACATATTGAATCGTTACGTTGTACACCTGAAATAGAATGTTATGTCGATTATGTCTCAATTGAAAAGCAAACCCAGACTCCAGAGCCCATGTTCTAACCACCACAGCTCACCATGGGCCACAGGACATGTCGTGCTTCCCAGACCTGGTGTGATTCGTAGGACACAGTGCTGCTCACAAGCAAGGCCACTGTCCCGGAGGTGGCCCACCCTCGGCAGGGATGTCCCCTTTCACATGAAGTGAAGCAGACCCCCCACCCACCACCCTCCCAGCCCCATCTCCTTAGCCTTGAGAAAGGTGCTTCTTACTTGGGGTTCTCGGAGGCTTTGGACGGCAATATTACCAGCGCCAGAGAGGATTTCTCGATGGCTGAACAGGAAGCCACCAGGTTCATATGGGGAAGGAACCTGACCTGTTGACACCAGTTGGAATGGAGAGCCTGGGAAGAGAGCGGCAGTGATGGAGGACCCAGCCCCTAGAACATGACAGGCGCTGGGGCTGGAGCAGCCCAGAGATCGCAGAGTCCAGTGTCCTTCCAGTGATCACAGCTCCAACAAAGAGATGTGGCCCACAGCCCTAGCCCAGGGCCTGGGACCAGGGTGTGTGGCCATCACTTGTCAGTGAAAAGGCTGCTGTCTCATGAACTCTTGTGGGTCATTTAGAGGACGGGCAAGTCAGGTCCATACTAACATTGTCTGTCGCCCCCTCCCAAGGTGGGAGAGAGGATGGATTCGAGTCCTGTTATCCGAGGGAGCCCCACCACAGGTTAACCTCCGCCTCCTGGCCCCACCCCTCCCTCGGTTTTCCAGGACATGGTGTGGAATGTATGAGAACATTATCTGGTGCCATTTGGGCAACAAAAGGCTGAGACCCACAAGTCAAGGGGGTGGCCTGGCTGATCCACCTCCAAATGCTCTGGCTCCAGCCCGTGGTCTGACTCAGTGCGCGGCTCCCAATCCAGAGATCTTCCTTCCCGGGACAGGAATGGGAGAAGTGAGTTGGAGGGGTCCTCAGGCCCTGAGCCAGGTTTTGCAAGCCTGTCTTGCTGAGTGTCACAGTGGAGGCACCGAATGGAACCTGGGGCACTGAGCAAGTCAGAGGGAAGCCAAGCCCAGGAAGAGATTCCCGTGGAAGATGGAGAGAAGAGTGGTCGTGTGGGGGTCTCTGAGAGGCTCCCAGGGCCTGAACGATCCAACCTGCTCCAAAAGAAGCATGGAGCAGCTCTGGACGACCCAACTCAGGCTTCCCTGAGTGTTGGATTTATTCATTCATTTGTTTAACAAACGGACTGGGAGCCCACCAAGCCCCAGGCACTAGAGACAGAGAAGAGAAGAGAAGAGAACAAGCTAAGTGCCTAGCCTCATGGAACTGTCCCTCCCATGGGCGTGGCAGGACAATGGAAGGACAATGCAAAGGTAAGAGGTGGTCAGCTGTGATATTGTGATTTATAGTAAGAAATATGGATTTGGTCTTTGTCCCTGATTCTAGCACACAGCTCCTAAGACCCTGGGACTTTCCTAAGTAATAAGAGCTATAGTGTTTTGATATTCACAAGTCCCTTTCAACCACATTCAGTTTATGTTAAGAAGGTGACTTTTGGAAAGCACCTGAGGATGGGGGCTGTTACCAGGGGAACCAACCATGTGACTGGAGAGTTGGAACTTTCCGTTCCAGAGAGAGAGGAGAGAAGGTTGAATTCCATGACCAATAGCCAATGATTTAACCAATCAGGCCTGTGTTATGAAGCCTCCATAATGTTCAGAGAGCTTCTGGGTTGGTAAAAGCACAGAGACTTGGGGAGTGGCCCCTCGGAGAGGGCACGTGCCCTCCCCCTTCCCTGGCCCTGGGCAACTCTTCCATCTGGCTGTTCCCACACAGTATCCTTTTATAAAGTAATCAGCAATCTAGTCAGTAACATGTTTCTCTGAGTTCTGTGAGTCGCTCTAGCAAATTAATCAAACCCAGGGAGTGAGGGGACCGCAGGAACCTCCTTTCTACGGCCAACTGGGCAGAAGCAGGTAACAACCTGGACTTGTGAGTGGCAGCCGAAGCGCAGGGCAGCCTTGTGGGACTGACCTTACCCTGTGGGGTCCGACTACCTGTGTTGCACTCTAGGACGCCCGGCTGGTGCTGGAGCTAAAGGCAGAGGCGGGCAGCCAGGCTGCCCCGGGCAGGTTGGTTAGGAACTGAAGGAAACAGGGAGGAGGGCACACAGGTACCTAGAGGAGGAGCATGGCAGGCTGAGGGGACAGCGCGTGCCAAGGCTCTGAGGTGGGAAAGGACTTCGTGGGTTTCAGAAAGAAGCTACTGGGGGATTTTGAGCAGAGCAGTGACGTGACTATTTCCATCTCTTTATTCCTCTGGCTGCTGGAGAGAGCACCGAGTGGAGAAAGTACAAGGCAGAGCAGCTAGTAGCCACTGCAGCCATCCGGGAGAGAGGTGGTGTCTGCAGGGACCAGGGTGAGCCCTGAAGGCGACGAGAGAGACGGCCGAGCCTGGGACGCAGAAAGGGCTGGGAGGATCCAACAGCCGCTCCACCCTGTTCCTGCAGACCCAGCCCCACAGCCTCAGACTGAACCCAGGGGGCAAACCCACTCTGCATTTATTTTTGACAGTGTGTGTACAAATAATTACCATGGTAACAGGCCAAGGAAAGTTACAACTTACCTTCAGCCGGTAACTTCTATAAAAAGGGGACTTCTCGTTTAAGAGCTTCTGTATGGAAACACTGGTCCAGTGATCTGAGGGGAGAAAACCGAGGTCCACATCACCAGTCCTCCCCCTTTGCCAGATGAGCAAGACCTCAGAAGACACCTTGAGTCTGTTTGCAGTTCCTCTGTGTCTCAAAAGCCTTCTCTGTCCAAACGCTTGTTCAAGCCTCACTGTGTCCTGGTGAGTTCAGCAGGAGTAAACTCATCTCCCAGAAAACAGCCCCCAAAGGTTAACACTACTGCCCAGGGTCCCCCCAGCACACAGCAGAGCCGGGTCCAGGCTGCCAGGTTCCCCACTCTCCCCAGCTGCTCCACTCTAGACAAGCTGATTCTGTTAGGCAGCTCCAACTTTGCTGAAGTGGAAGATGAATTGTGGTCCTAGACTCTGTTCATTCTGAAGAGTCATTTGGGAGTTGGCCAGGATGCTTCAAATGACATGCCCCCCTGCCCAGCAACCACCAGTTCCAAGAAGAAGTTGCTTGCGTGCATTGTAAACCGAGCACGTCAGGAGGGACCACACTAGGCACAGCCCTGTCCTCGTGGAGCTTAGGGTCTCCTGGCTCTGGAACTCTCCCATGGAAGGCTGCTGAGGAGCCTCTGGGGAAGCCCTCTCAGGCCCCGGTACCAGCTGCGTAGCTTGACATAGACGGGCAGAGGCAGCAGTGACTTGGAACAAAGCAGGGATTAGGAGGTAGATCAGTTTGGACTCAGGTTTGAGAGAAACTTCCAGGTAAAATAGAGAAAAGAGAGAGGGGATCCAGGACCTTATGCCAAGCATTTTCTGCTGCAAGGCCCTCGGCCCCTTCTTGCAAGGGCAGGAAGAGCTTGACAAGGAAATCCCAAGGGATGGAGTGTTGCACGAGGTCACTGAAATGGGGCAGGCTCTGCTGGCCCGGGAGGAAGGAAGCTCAGTTCCAGCTGGGCTGTGCTGTGAGCATGTCTGGCTGCCTGTGGCTCCCACTAGGCCCACTAGGCTGGGAGCGCCCCACACGGCAGGGGAGGCAGTCACTGTGAGACAGGCCAGGACGCCAGGACAAGTGGAATAGGGAAACCAAGACAGACAGCTGAACAAACTGACAGAGCAATTTACAGCGGACACAGAAGGTCACCTCCATAGAGACAACATCTAGGCCTCAGTTGTATTTCAGCTCCAGGCCCAGAAAAGCAGCAAACAGGCGGGTGAGGCCAGGACCAGCTACAATGACTAATGCCCCCCTACCCTGACACTGACCAGTCAGCGACAACCAGCCTGAAGGGGCACACCTAGAAAACTGATGAGTATTCTGTTGAAATCCTCCCCTAAGATTCCCACCTGCGAGAGAAATAAAGGCCTCAAGACAAAGGACCCAAAGCTCTCACCTTCCCAGGGCATGCCCACACCCCCTTCTTCCCCTCAGGCAGCATCTCCTAGACTACAGGACCCCTGAGGCTTGCAACCAGAGCAGCAATGGGCAGTGGCCGTTCATCCCAGGCAAACCCCTGACCCTGTCCTTAAGGCCCCCTATTCTCTGACTTAGTGAGCCAAAGCAGACCAACCCAGGCTCATTTCCCCAGCCCCTTCTTGTTTCACTATCTCCAGCGTCAATAAACATCCTCTAAAAGTCACCTGGACTCGTGCTGTGAAATTTTTCCTGCACGAAGTCAAGAACCCACACACTATCACCCAGCCCTAGGCAGACCCGCTCAGGTCCAGGTCCCGTTTCCGGTGACAACTGGACACTTACTATGTGCCTCACACTATGTGCTCTCCTTCCATCTCTCAGCAAAGCCATGGATGGGGTGTGCGCATCCCTATCTGAATACGGGAACTAAGGAGAGGTTAGGCACCTGGATTAAGGTCACACAGAGCTGGTCCAACTCCTCCCATGTCAGCATGCTGCTGGACCTACCTTCATGTTTGTCCCCAGCCTTCAGTCAACATGTGACATAGAAGGATGTATATCCAATACTCCAGCTTCATCTGCTCTCCACCACCCTAATTTCCCATCCATCACCTCAGTTCAAAGACCACCATGACCCCCCCATGCCAATTCCCAGGGTGGCACAGAGCAACCAGGGCAGGGGCTGATGAGGCAAGGACACAGCAGGGTGTCAGCCCACTGCTGCATCCCAGGCAGGATGCACTTTCTGTCCAACCAGCGGGGAACACTGCCCCCAACAAGCTTGGTAGTGGGTGTCACCGAGGCCTGAGAGCCCTGGAGGATGTCCCGTTCAGAAACTGGGACTGGAAGCTCAAGGGACTGCTCTGGTGTTCTGAATGGAGGGGTAAGTGTCCCTGTGGGCTGGGGCCCCAGCTGGACTAGCCTTCCTCTGGGGGGAGCAACCTGGAGGCCTGACATTGTGCACTGAGGGTTGGATCCAGGTCAGATGAGTCCCTGACTGCCCCAGGCCCAGGTCCTCAGCATCTAGTGCTCCTTGGCAGAACGTCCCAAACAGCATCCTTCAGCATTTGGTGAGTTTGCTATACAGCTTAGGTTCAAGTGCAGACTCTAGAGCAGACCACCTGCTCAGATCTCAGCCCCACTTACCCCGGGGGCCTGCGCTCCACCCCTCTAGACCTCTGTTCCGCCTCTCTTGACGGGCTGTGACCACAGCAGCTCCTGGCAGTGGGTGGGGGTTACAGGAGGTGATGCGCCCAAGGCACAAATGTCGCTGTGCTTATTCATATTCATGTGGATCCAGGCTCCACAGATCCCACTTTCAGGGCAGCCACTCTACACCCCTTCCCACCCAGAGGCAGCTCACAGCCAAGGAGCGCGGAACCCTCCACACAGTGATGGAGGAAGTAGCACCGTCATCCCAGGGCCCAGTTGAGTGGCTTCTCCAAGGACACACAGCTGCCATGGGTTCATTCTTCCTGGGATGAGGAGGGTCCTGAAGCCCCCCTCACCTGGCCCTTACCTGTACCTCCCATCTTCAGAGATTGCCCATCTCCTCACCCCTCTTCTGTCTCCTGCCGTCACCCCATCTCCTCGCCTCCCACAGGCTGCTCAGAGCTGAGCATTCAGTGTGGTTGCCTGAGCTGCTGAAGGAGCCAGGGGCTCTTGAGCAGGGAGGTGGGGAGAGGGAAGAGCACCCCAGGGCAGAACCATCCCCCCCCACACACTCTTCAATGTGTTAGCTACCCCATTTGGAGGTCCTGGGGAGGATTCGGGGGTTGAACAGCCCATTGGCCACATTGTCAGAGGTGAAGACGATGACGTTGCCTTTGGTGTCTCCAAAGCAGAACACACCTCTGTTATAGTCAGACCTGGGAAAGACAGAGCAGAAGAGGCATGGGGCCGGCTGGGCACACCCAGCTGTAGTCCTGTCCCCTGCCCAGCGCTCCGATGCCACTGGCCACTAGGGCTCGAGGACAGCTCTTGCTCTCAACAGCTGACAAACATGGGCCCAGCCGCCCAGATCCAGACCATCGACGAACCACACCCAAAATAAACCAGCATTATTTTTCAAAGCAAAATAAATGAATCTCTGGTCCTCTGGCTGCTCCTTGTCAAGTCACCCCTGCCGAAGGACTGTGACATCTCCAGAGTCCCCACACACAGATGGCAAGCCTCTGCCACACTTTGGTGGCTCACTCGGTGGGAGAGGAAGAGGAGCCGACAATGACTCTGAGGTCTGAGTGACAATGAAAGGTAACCCCAAGAGAGAAGCAGCTTGGGGGGAAGAGGACAGGCACACAGGGTGTGAATCTTCCCAGAGCTGTTTCCAGAGAGGCTTTCTGAGGGTCCCCACCCCACCAAGTAAGGTGGCCGCAGCAAGACCCTGCACCAATCTCTCACGAGACTCACCAGTAGTCCATAACCAGAGCACAGTTGTCCAGATCGATGAAGGTGAAGGCCCGAACACACTTAAGATTACTAATATCGAAGAACTCTGGGAAGAGACAGAGGAGAGGCACTCACAGAACCCAAAGCCACATCTCAGGCCACAGGGTCTCTGGTGACACTGAGCAGTCACCACCCGGCAATACCCCCAGAGGACTTTAATCCATGCTCAAAGTTGGCTCAGCGACAGATCTCCCCAAGTGCAGATGCATGACTCCCGAGGCCAAGCGCAGGTGGGGCAGCCGCCAGGGACTCACCGATCTTCTGATCAGTAGATGCTATCGCAACCAGGTTCATGTTGTGGAGACACACCATGTCGATGACCCACATCTGCTGGTTGTGGAACGGCTGGGTCTGGTTAAGCTGGCCAGAGACAGAGCAGAGGAGACCTGGGCTGGGGAGACTTCCCCAGGAGAGCACACCGGGGTCCCCGTGAACCACCCCTGCCACCTGAGGCCCTGGAGCCAGGCGGAGACCTGGTCATAGAGCCCAGCGTGACCACCAACTACTAATAATGAAGACTTGGATAAACTCCCTAACCTCTCTGAGTCTCAGTTGCCACGTCTATAAAATGAGCTTAAAATACTGATTATCTTTACAACCCCTTTTGAGAGCAGTTTGACAAGCTAGCTCATCAAAGTTTTTTGTTTTTGTTTTTATTTTTGAGCAGCAAATCAACACCTACAATTCAAAGAGGTTGACTCTGGGCCTCAGATAGTTTTTCTCAGTCCAGAGTCTTTTTTTAAAATACGTTTTTGGTTTTTTTTCTTTATTGATTTAGAGAGAGAGAAAGGAAGAGGGAGAGAGAAAGAAACATCAATGAGAGAGAACATCGACTGGCCGCCTCTTGCATGCCCCCCACTGGGGATCGGGCCCACAACCTGGGCATGTGCCCTGACCAGGAATCGAATCGGCGACCTTTTGGTGCATGGGTTGATACTCAACCACTGAGCCACACCGGCTGGGCTTAAAATATGTTTTTATTGCCCTGGCCAGTCTTGCTCAGTGGTTAGATCATCGGCCCACGGACCAATGAGTCACAGGTTTGATTCTGGTCAAGGGCATGTACCTCGGTTGCAGTTTGTCCCCGGCCCTGATTGGGTGGTGTGGGAGGCAGCCAGTCAATATGTCTTTCTCACATCAATGTTTCTCTCTCTCCCTTTCTCTCTCCCTCTCTCTCCTTCCCTCCCACTCTCATAATAAATAGAAAGAAAAATATGCTTGGGTGAGGATTAAAATATATATATATTTTTTTAAATATGCTTTTGGTTTTTTCTTTATTGATTGAGAGAGAGAGGAAGAAAGAGGGGGAGAGAGATAGAAACATCGATGAGAGAAACATCGATCGGCTGCCTCCTACATGCGCCCTACAAGAGATTGATCCTGCAACCTGGGCATGTGCCCTGACTGGGAATCAGACCCTTGACCTCTTGGTGCGTGGGTTGATGCTCAACCAACTGAGCCACACCAGCCGGGCTCATAAAAGTTTTAAATGTGCAGTTTGTAACCCCAGGATCCATTTCCAGGATGCATCTATGGATGTGTTCACATATAGTCACAGAGAAGTATAAGAAGGGACACCACTCAGACATTCACAGTGAGGGAGCTCTATACATACCGATAAAGAATAGTTGCCAAGATATATTATTAAGTGAAAAAGAAAGGTGAAAAGCAGCATAATAACGTGCTACCATTTGTATATTTAAAAAGAAAGGGGGTGGTGTATGAATAGGCTATCCATGAAAGAGCACCCCAAAACTGGTTGCAGCAGTTGCCTCCAGGGAGAGGAATTAGGGTCTGGGGAAGACTGACTTTCTAGTATCAGCCGCTCTGTATGTCTGAACCCACCCCCGCCTCCGGCCAGTTTTACTGAGATGTAACTGACATGTAACATTGTGTTTGTTTTGTCTGGATCCTGTTTACCGCCTGCGCTGTCTGCTGGTGAACTGCTAGGAGAACCCGTCCTGCCAGCTGTGAGCAATAAATGGAATCGTGAAAGCTGCAGCATGGAGTGTGCTGCGCAGCACTTGGGGGGCTTGGCAGGAGCTTGGCAGGCTTGGGTGCCCTTCCACGCTCCGGTGCCAGCCTCACTTAACGCTTGTACAGACAGAATGTGGGCTGGCACGCCAGGCGGGGATGCCATGAGCAAAGGCATGTCAGCAGAAATGAACTGCTGTGTCCAGGAGAAAGAGGCCGGCCCGCCAGACTTGGGCGGGAGGAGATGGGACAGGACTTACAGGTGGCCAGCTGAGGACCTTGTATTTTACTCCCTGAATAATAATACAGGTTCTGAGTGAAGAAAGAAGAGGGGCTTCCGTCCGGGGAAAAAAAAGGGAGGGGACATTTTAAGGCAGCTCCTGTAGGTGGATATTCAGAAAGGATGGCAGGGGCAGAGGTAGGAAGCAGAATGTTCCAACAGACTCAGAGCCCCAAGAGCAGAGGCCTGCACTAATGGCGGGGGCAGTGAGGACAGTGAACCAGGGTCCCCCTGAGGCCCCTCTCCTGACCAGGGCTGGGGTCTAACCTACACACAAGGGAGGTGACTGTAACACCCATCACCCCCGTGTTCAGATGAGAGACTGAGAGCCCGAGGGAGTTTCAGTGACCTGCCTGGGGTTGCACAGCTAGTAGGTGAAGCCCAGCCCCAGCCCCAAACTCCAGGGCTTTCCACCCGCATGACTGTGGGTGTGCAGCCGATGGTCCCGGTGCCTGGTGACTCACTCTTGACAGCGTATCCTTGAAAGCAGCCCCTCAAGGAAGAATGCCCAGGTCTCCTGGACCTCCCGGGGGGCCTTCCTCTGTCCTCCTCGGCCTCCTAGGCTTTGGCCCTTGAGGGGCACAGAGGTGACCGTGCAGCAGCCATAGCCAGGAGCTCAGGTTATAATGTGCCTTCCCCCAATTAACACACGGAAAAAAAGAGAGTGGAGTGTGCCCAAAACTCCAGCCTCAGGAACATGGTACAAATCACACCCACCCACCCCACCCCCAGACCTGGGCTAGAGCACCCAGGAGAGTCGCTGGACCTCTCCAGACCTTAGTTCCCACCCTAGGCAACTGGGAGGTGGTGGTGGGGGGGGACCATCCAGAACCCCCTGCCCCAAGGCATAACACCTGATGCGACTAGAAAGCACTGCACAGGCTGAGAAAGCTCTCATGCTGCTGGCAGTATCTCAGTCAACCTTTCTCCTCAAGAAAGCTGTGCCTTCCTCATTCGCTAGACTGGCCTGGCAACACAAGTGCACAGTGGGTTTGCCTGAGTGTTTATCCCTCTGCACTTCAGGATCTGACGGCACCAGGACAGTGATGACGTCGGCTTATGTTCCTCAGGTGCTTGCTCAGGCCTTCCCTGCTCCAAGCACCACACATGTACTCTGTTATTAAGTCCTCCCACTGCCCTGTGAGGGGTACTATTACTACCTCATTTGACAGATGAGGAAAATGAGGCTTGGAGAGCTCTAGAGTAATGGGTCCAAGGTCACAGAGCTGGAAGGTGTTGGGCTCTAAGCCAGGCGGTCGGGCTCCAGCGGCCAGGCTCACGGCCCCTGTGTTGTCCTGCCTGGTCCAGGCAAAGGATTTGAATCAGCAGGATTGGGTGATGCAGTGGGTGTAACAAAGGAAGGAAAGGGGGCCGATCTCCGACTCGGGAAACTTCCACTGAGATGGGGCCATAGGAGAAGCCTGGTGAACAGGGAGGGCTACAGTGACATTCGGTTTGGACAAACTGGGTTTGAGGTATCTGTTGGACATCCAAGTAGAATGGACATGCAGGTGGAATCTTGCTTACATAGGAGAAATCTGAGGCTCACGGTTCCACAGCAAAGCCAGACCCTGGACCCAGGAGCTGTGACTGCAAGTGCGGAAGGCCTAGTCCACAAACCCTGAGAAGGAGCTGGCTCTGGGCCCAGAGCGTGGAGGCAGAGGCCCTCTGACCACCCCATCTGTGCTCCACGTGTGGGCCCCACTCACCCTAAAGGAGCTGACCAGAGAGAAGGACTCTGACCAGAACTGCAGGATCCCGTTCTTGGTGACAGTCAGAAAATTCCCAATCTTCTTGAACCGATGGATTAAAAACTCCACTTTCACAACCTCACACCCATGATTCCTATGGGAGGTAATGAGAAAGAGAAGAAACAAAACCAGAACCAAAACACAGAGGAGGAAGGATATCTGATACCAGATATCAAGTTATACTACAAAGCCACTGTAATCAAAACAGCCTGGTACTGGCACAAAAACAGGCATGTAGATCAATGGAACAGAACAGAGAACCCAGAAATCGCCCAAGACAGAATGCACAATTAATATTCAATAAAGGAGGCAAGAGCATACAATAGAGAAAAGACAGTCTCTTCAGTAAATGGTATTGGGGCACAGCCAGTGTGGTTCAGTGGTTGAGCACTGACCCATGTACCAAGAGGTCGCCGGTTCGATTCCCAGTCAGGGCACATGCCCAGGTTGTGGGCCCTATCCCTAGTGGAGGGCATGCAGGAGGCAGCCAACTGACACTCTCTTCAATGTTTCTATCTCCCTCTCCCTTCCTCTCTCTCTAAAAATCAATAAAGAAAAAAATATTAAAAATAAATGGTGTTGGGAAAATTGGACAGCTACATGCAAAAAAAAATGAAACTTGCCCTGGCCAGTTTGGCTCAGAAGTTAGAGCATCGGCCTGCGGTCCTGAGAGACCCGGGTTTGGTTCCTGCTAAGAGCGCGTACCTCAGTTGCAGTTTGTCCCCAGCCCTGGTTGGTCATGTGGGTGGCAGCCACTCAATGTGTCCCTTTCATGTCGATGTTTCTCTTTCTCTCTGTTCCTCTCTCGCCCTCCCACTCTACCTGAACAAAGAATGAAAATATGTCCTCGGGTGAGGATAAAATAAATAAATAAATAGCCCTGGCCGGTTTGGCTCAGCAGTTAGAGCATTGGCCTGCAGTCCAGAGAGACCCGGGTTTGGTTCCCACTAAGGGTGCGTACCTCGGTTGCAGTTTGTCCTCGGCCCTGGTTGGGTCTTGTGGGTGGCAACCACTCAATGTGTCCCTTGCACATCAATGTTTCTCTCTCTTCCCCCCGCCCCACTCCATCTGAACAAAAAATGAAAGAATGTCCTCGGGTGAGGATAAAAATAAATGAATGAATGAGTGAATGAATGAATGAATAAAATAAAATAAAAAATAAAAAAGAATTTACTTTAAAAAAAAATGAAACTAGACCACAAAATTATACCGTACACAAGAATAAACTCAAAATGGATAAAAGACTTAAATGTAACTCATGAAACCATAAAAATCCAAGAAGAAAATTTAGGCAAAAAAATCTCAGACATCATATATAGCAGATTTCTTACTGATACATCACTTAGGGCAAGAGAAATAAAGGGAAAAAATAATAAATGGGACTACATCAAACTAAAAAGCTTCTGCACAGCAAAAGAAACAACCATCAAAATGAAAAGTGAACTCACTCTCTGGGAGAACATATTTGCGAATGATACATTAGATAAGGGGTTACTATCCAAAATATATAGAGTACCCATACAACTCAACAAAAGGAAGACAAACAATCCAATTTAAAAATGGGCAGAGGACCTGAATAGACACTTCTCCAAATAGAACATACATATGAAAAAATGCTCAGCATCTTTAATCATCAGAGAGATGCAAATTAAAATGATTGAGCGAACACCTCACACCTGCCAGAATGGCTGCCATCAACAAATACTCAAACAAGTGCTGGCCAGGGTGTGGAAAAAAGGGGACTCTAGTACACTACTGGTGGGAATGCAAGCTGGTACAGCTACTATGGAAAACAATATGGTGTTTCTGCAAAAAATTAAAAATGGAACTGCCATTTGACCCAGTGATTCCACTTCTTGGAATATATCCTAAGAAGCCTGAAACACCAGTCAGGAAGAATATATGCCCTATGTTCATAGCAGCACTATTTACAATAGCTAAGATCTGGAAACAGCCCAAGTGTCCATCAATAGATGAGTGGATAAAAAAAAGCTATGGTACATTTACACAATGGAGTACTATGCAGCTGTAAGAAAGAATGATCTCTTACCCTTTGAGATGACATAGAGGGACCTGGAGAGTATTATGCTAAGTGAAATAAGCGGGTCAGAGAAAGACAAGTACCACATGATTTCACTTATTTATGGAACATCATGAACAAAATAAGCTGTCGACCAAAATAGATCCAGAGTCATGGAAGTAGGAAACAAACTGACAAACCTCAGAGGGATGGGGGGTGGGGGTGGGAAGAGATAAACCAAAGACAAACCAAAGAATATATATATATATATATGTACATATATATATATACACACACACACACAAAACCAATGGACACAGACATTAGGTTGGGTAAAGCTGGAGTGGGGTGGGAGCAGGAGGAGAGGGTCAATGGGGGGGAAGGGGAGACATCTGTAATACTTTCAACAATAAAATAATACTAATAGTAATAAAAAAAAAAAAAGAAAAGAAAAAATAATGACAGAAAACTTCCTTAACTCAGTGAAGGAAACAGACATATAAGTCCAGGAAGCACAGAGTCCCAAACAAGATGAACCCAAAGAGGCCCACACCAAGACACATCATAATTAAAGTACAAAAGGTTAAAGACAAACAGAGGATCTTAACAGCAGCAAGAGTCTGGCTGGTGTGGCTCAGTGGATTGAGTGTCGTCCCATGGACTGCGAGGTCCCGATTCGATTCCTGGTCAGGGCACATGCCTGGGTTGCAGGCTCGATCCCCAGTAGAGGGCATGCAGCCAGCAACCAATCGATGTTTCTCTCTCTGTCTTAAAAAAATCAATTAAAAAAAAATTAAAAAACAAAAAAAGGCCAGTGTGGCTCAGTGGTTGAGTGCCAACCCATGCACCAGGAGGTCACCAGTTTGATTCCCAGTCAGGGCACATGCCCAGGTTGTGGGCCAAATCCCCAGTGGGGGGCACGCAGGAGGCAGCCAGTCCATGTTCTCTCTCATCGATGTTTCTATCTCTCTCTCCTTCCCCCTTCCTCTCTTTCTAAAATCAATAAAGAAAATATATTTCTGTTTTAAAAAGAAGGAGAACTCTTCCAACCCTCTAAACATGGGGGCAGGGGAAGACTGAAGCTCTCCTTCTTTAAAAAAAGCAGCAAGAGAAAAGCAGTTTGTTACCTACAAAGGAGCTCCCATAGACTGTCAGCTGATTTCTCAAAAGAAACTTTGCAGGCCAGAAGGGAGTGGCAAGCAATATTCAGAGTATGAAGAGCAAGAACCTACAACCAAGATTACCCTGTCCTGCAAAGCTGTCATTTAGAATCAATGGCCATATAAAGAGTTTCCCAGACTACAAAAAGCTAAAGAAGTTCATCACCACCAAACCAGTATTATATGAATTGTCGAAGGGTCTTTGTGAAGATAAAAATATGAACAATAAAATGGCAATACATATCTATCAACAATTGAATCTATAGACCAAATGAACAAGCAGAACAGAAACAGATTCATAGATACAGAGAACTTTTTGATGGTTGCCAGATGAAAGAGGTGTTGGGGGGCATGGGCCGAAAATGTGAAGGGATTAAGAAGTAAAAATTGATTGTTAGACTGACAACCTCAGAGGGAAGGGCGTATGCAGGAAGAGATAAACCAACGGACACAGACAATAGTGTGTGGAAGCCAGGAGGGGGGTGGGAGCAGGAAGGAGGGGGGTCAGTGGGGGGAAAAATGGGGACATCTATAATACTTCCAACAATAAAAATAAATTTTTTTATCAAAGTAAAAAAAGAATAATAACCCAGTCACTGTGAAATTCTAGCACATTACCATCTCTGCGGAAGAGAGAGGGTGGTGCACGTCTGGACACGCTGTCCTCTCCCTCCTGCTCTCAGCCCACAGCTCTGTCCGGATCCTCACGAATATTCTATCACCCCTCTAGCTGTCACCTCCAGTTCTGCCTCTGCTGTCAGGGCCAAGAGAGTGTGAGGAATAGACACGACAGTGAGGAGAGCCCGAGGAACTGCCACCTCCTGGAGTCTTGGTCTCCTCATCTACACAGTGAGCACCTCCACCTCCTAGGACCGCCGTGCCACCAAGACGGTGCGTTTGGTGAGCTGGGCCAGGCTCAGGACAGGGTAGCCAACCTCGAAGAGCTACCTTTTCGTGAAGGCAATTAGGTATTATTGGCTATTTTCTCCACAAAGCCGGAAATGTTCGCCAGGTTTGTAGGTTGAGCGTATAAACAGGAGAACATAGGGGCAAGCTTCCTGACATTTTTGGTTCAGGCCTTTTTAGGACCCTTGGAAATTCAAGTGTCCCGAGGAAATAGACCAGTGAAGCCTTGGCTACCTCGAGCAAAGTTTTGATGTCAAAATGTAAGATTATAAAATCTTTCATCATTCCTATATATGGGCTATTTCTCAACTAAATCTTGACCGAAAAAAATTTTTTTAAGGAACCCTTTCATGGTTTTCATTTAAACCACCTTCTCTAGGTTGCCGAGGGCAGGGGCTTCCTTCTAGTTTGTGGAGCTCCCCATCGCCCGCTCTGGGTGTGGTTCCCTGAGGACAGACCCCCATGGGCCCTCCTAACCAGGCCACACATGCAGACTGCCACACCTTGTACACAGGACCTGGCTCCTGGCTCCAGTCACCTGCACCGGGCAGCTGGTGCTCCAACCCAAGTTGTGCTCTGGGAAGGGAGCCAGTGGCCTAGGGGCAGCCCAGCCAGCCTGTGCTGCTGGAGTGCTCCTCACTCCTGGGCTGTTTTGAGGGGTGGGGACTGACAGGCCAGAGCATAGAGGATGAGGAGCAGTTCCAGAGGACACGGCAGGGGAGGGGCAGCAGGCGGAGCCAGCAGGCAGGGTCAGGCAGAAGGATGGCAGGGACAGAGCTGCAGGCTCCAGGAGTGACGGAGGGCTGCTCCAAAGGTGGGAGGAGCCGTTTCCTGCCTCCACTGTGGCTCTGACTCCCTGTCACCTCAGGAAAAGCTGTCCCCACTGTGTGAGGCACCTGTGTCCTGTGGATAGCACTGCCAGCCCCACTCAGCACCGGCCCCAGGAGGAAGCAGAGGAAGCTTGACAGGTGGCTAAAGACTGGCAGAGAACCACCCCACCACTTCCATGTTACCTCTCTGAGCCTTAGTTTCCTCATCTGTAAAATGGGGACAAATCACTTACCTAATGCTCATGCCCACCTACCCAGTTGTGAGGCTGAAAGGAGCTAAAGGACATCAAGCAGCAGACCCAGTGCCAGACCCTGGGTGGGCCCTCAGGGACTTAGGAAGGACATTAGCTGCAGGGCCAGCGCAGTGGTTCAGACCCACCCTTTCTGCCCAGGGAGAGGCTCCTTACAGGTGGATGATCCTCATGGGCAAGTAGAAGTGCAGGTGGTACTGGATCTTCCTCATCAACTCCTTTCCCTGGAACTCCCGTATCATATAATCCACACAGTTCGACTGCCTCGGGAGGAAACGCAAGGCAGGGAGGGTGTGGCCCAATCATCTGAGCACTGGGCTTTGGGAATCCAAACAGCTTCCAGTGTTCTCCCCCATCTCTCCCAGCCCCTTCCAAGGGGCTCTGCGAGCCCCACCCAGGCTGGCAAAGGGAAGCTGCCTAGCAACAGAGCTGCTCTTGGATTTGCCTGGGTGAGAGGCTTATTGGCCAGCATTTGTGAAGAGAGCGGAGAGCACTTCTGTAACACGGTCAGCAAGTTCCAGCCTCTGTCATCTCATGGCACACACACTAATTATGAAAATTCTGCGGCACACCGAAAAATGTTATATTTTTTGCCAATCTGACAAAAAAAATAGGTATAATTTTAATTCGTTCACGCAGGACGGCTATTGTGTTGGCTGTTACTTTTTTGACACGCTAAGGCAGCAGTTCTCAACCTGTGGGTCGCGACCCCTTTGGGGGTCGAACGACCCTTTCCCAGGGGTCACCTAAGACATAACAGTAGCAAAATTACAGTTATGAAGTAGCAACAAAAATAATTTTATGGTTGGGGGTCACCACAACATGAGGAACTGTATTAAAGGGTTGCGGCATCAGGAAGGTTGAGAACCGCTGCTCTAAGGGGAAGGAGGTCAGTGCCCTGACTAGACAGTCAGGTGTTGCGTGTTTTTACAATTCTTGCAGCGCACCGGTTGGAATCGTTGTGCTACATGCATCGTCACATCACTTCCACACCTGGGCATCTCACCTGAGTCTGTTTATTCACACACACACCCCCCACACACTTCATGGATAGTAAGACTGTGCCCATGTACGTATAGATTAGTTGCCCCAGATCATCTATCATGTTAACAGCAAGGGCCCATGAGCCAGGCCACGAGGGCAACTCTAGACTCTATTGCTAGCCTCATGGAAATATGGCCAAGGCTAAAACGAGCTACCAGGTGAAGCTATGACAAGAAATAGGGAGTTATTGAGAAATATCATTGTGTCAATGGCAGAGAATGCGGGAAACATGTTTATTATAGAATATTAAGGGAAATGAAAGAAGAAAAATAACAGAATGTAGCCCTAAGCCCAGGGGGAGGTGCGATAGCGCAGTTAACACATGGGCTCTTGAGGCGAACTCCCTGGGCCTGAGACAGCCTGGCTGCTCACCAGCTCTGAAACCCTGGGCAAGGCTCCTAACGTCTCTGTGCTTCAGGGTCCCAACCTGTCAAGTGGAAAAACAGTCACCTACCACATAGGACCCCTGTGAGGTTTACGTACAATAACACATAACGTGCCCAGCCGGTGTGGCTCAGTGGTTGAGCGTCGACTCATGCACCAAGAGGTCGCCGGTTTGATTCCCAGTCAGGGCCCATGCCCAGGTTGTGGGCCCAATCCCCAGTGGGGGGCATGCAGGAGGCGGCCAGTCGATGTTCTCTCTCATCGATGTGTCTCTCTCTCTCTCCCTCTCCCTTCCTCTCTCTCTAAAATCAATAAAGAGCCCTGGCCAGTTTGGCTCAGCGGTTAGAGCATCGGCCTGCGGTCCGGAGAGACCCGGGTTCGGTTCCCGCTAAGGGCACGTACTTCGGTTGCAGTTTGTCCCCAGCCTGGTTGGTTGTGCGGGTGGCAGCCACTCGATGTGTCCCTTCACGTCGATGTTTCTCTCTCTCTCTCCCTTCCTCTCTCTCCCTCCCACTCTATCTGTACAAAAAATGGAAAAATATCCTCGGGTGAGGAAAAAATAAAATAAATAAAATAAAATAAAATCAATAAAGAAAAAAAATTTTAAAAACAAACAAAAAATAATAGTATGTAACATGCTTAGTACAATGCCCGTTATCATTTTCATCATCGTGACATCTCTATGACACTTCTTTTTTGTACTCTTCTGTATTCTGTATTCTGTGTTCTTAAATGCTGTACAGTATATGCTTATTGTAGACCACTTAGAATCAGAAAAAAACAAAAGCATTATTATTAATACGCTCTAAAACTCTGACAATTTTGGATTTAACAGCCACAGATGTGCCTGTTCCTGAGTGACCATAAAGGGCCACGAAACGGTTGTGGCAGCGGCTGAAATGCCCTCAGCTGGTGAGCTGCTCACTGCTGTGTGCTCAGTCCGTCTCCTGCAAGGGCACTGACAATTGTCATACACCCTCTTGAACCCCAGGAGGGGAATGAGCTATGATGAGCCCACAAGAGTCTCAGGAGGGTGCCCTCAAGGACTCTGAGGGTTCCTCTATCCAGCATGCACCCCAGAATCCATAGGAGGCTTTCTGATGTTGTGGCTGCCCCCATATTCAACCCTCCATGTGCTTCACTGACCAGCCAAGGCCTGTACCCTCCAGCCTCCCTCCAGCTACCTGAGGCAGCAGGGGTGCCCTCCTCACCCAGGTGATGAAGCCATTACACTCTATGTCCACCTTCAAAAACAGCGCCTCTAGCATCTCATCTGACATATGGCCCAGAGTCTTCTTCATGACCTTGATGAAAGCCTCCCTGTTCAGGCCTTCAAGAGAGAGAAATATATCATCACGACCCATCACCGGCCACAGGGTTCTTGAGTGTCCTGAGCTGAGGGGGACACACAGAGGATCACATCTGCTGGGCCGTCTGTTGCATCGTCTGTTCAGCATTCAATCATCCCACACACCTGCTGCACACCTTCCACGCAATAGCACTAGGTTGGCCTGGCTGCTGGGGAAGGGGGATCAGGTCCCATTTTTCAATAAATAAGACAACCGGCATTGAGACAAAAAAAAAACCTGATAAAAACTTTTAAAAAAAGTAAATAATGGCAACAACGAGGCATAAATTCAAATGTATAGAGGGAGAGGTGAAGCGCATCTTTTAAAGGCAATTAAAATACGAACTCTGGCTGGAGGAGACGGTGGGAGGGCAGAGCAGGAGAGGACAGGGGTAAAATATCTCCCGTGCTGGGTTTCATGGCTCTAAGGGACTCTGCAAATGAAGCAATAACCTCCATCTAGATTTTTTTAAATGATCACAATATTTATAAAGTGCTTCTAAAAGCCCCTCCATCCCTGGCTGGTGTTGCTCAGTGGAGTGTCATCCTGTACACCATCAGGGTATATACCTGGGTTGTGGGATTGATCCCCCATCAGGACATGTACAGAAGGCAAGTAATCAATGTGTGTGTGTGTGTGTGTGTGTGTGTGTGTGTGTGTGTGTGTGTGTCTCCCTTTCCCCTCTCCAAAATCAATAAGCATAAATGAATAATAAATTAATACACCCCCCTCCAAGTATTTGGAGTCCTCGCCGCGGCCTAAAGGCCAGGCATTATCCGGCTCCTGTCACCCTCACCTCCCACCACAGTCCCCTGCATTCTCTGCTCCAGCATAAAGTCCCCACAGTTTCTCACACCACCGAGCACACTCCCACCTGAGAGCCTTTGCATTGTCTGGTTCCCCCACAGGGAAGCCTTCCTGGGGACTATCTAAGGAGGTTCCCCCGACCCCACACCCAGCTCTACCATCCTGACATCCCTCATCACCACCGCAGCCCATGAGCTCTGGGAGAGCAGGGCAGAGCTGTCCCTCCGTGACTGGTCCCCGAGTGTTTCTGTCGGCACGAGGATGCGATGGTGATGATAATCAGGTGCCAGTCTCATCTGTGTTTATTCATACTGACCACCTAATGGAGGGAGGGGCTCGCGAGGAAACTGGCACAGAGAGGCAAGGCCCCATGCCCAAGGTCACACAGCTGGGAAGTGATGGAGCCTGAGGTGAGCCCAGCAATCTGGCTCCTGAGGTCCTGCTTTCACCCCACTCTGTGCTCCTCATAAAACACCCAGCACAGTGCTACAGCTGTGGTTATTATTTATTGGTAGATTAAGGAATAAATGAAAGCCTAAACAAAACATATCCTGCTTAAAGAAGGATTCATCTTATTTATCTGAAGCTAGAGCTAAGAGGCTTAGACATTTTAAGTGGCTCTTCACGGTCCTTCCGTGTACAACATGGACATCAGATGACGGTGCATGAGCAGCAGCCTTCCCCTCAGGCCAGGGCTGGGAGTCAAAGCGCCTTTGTGCAGCATTTAGTGAACAAACTCCTCGTGAGAGAGCTCCAAGGACCAAGTCCTTTCACAGTGTTTCGGAAACCATAGAAACTGTTTACTGCCATGTTATTTTAGTATATTTCTCATAAACAGTATATCAAGTTTCTTTGAGAAAAAAACAAAGTATTTTAGAAGGGAAATGTAGCCCAGCCAGTGTGGCTCAGTGGTTGAGCATGAACCCATGCACCAAGAGGTCACCGGTTTGGTTCCGGTCAGGACACATGCCCAGGTTGTGGGCCAAACCCCCAGTGGGGAGCATGCAGGAGACGGCCAGTCCATGTTCTCTCACATCAGTTTCTATCTCTCTCTCTCTCTCTCTCTCTAAAATTACTGAAGAAAAACAATTTTTAAAAAAAGAAGAAGGGAAATGTGTGCCGTGCGGGCCAGGGGAGAGCCCTGCTCGTCCCCTTCTGAAAGGCAGCACTCACCCATCTGACCCACGCGGGTAGTTGGAGGCTCTCGAAGCCCTGGCCAGGGGGCTCAGTTAGTGGGAGCATTGTCCTGTACACCAAAAAAAAAGGTGGCAGGATCAATTTCTGGTCAGGGCACATACCTAGGTTGCAGGTTGAATGCCCGGTTGAGGTGTGTTTGGGAGGCAACCGATCGATGTTTCTCTCTCACATGGATGTTTCTCTCTCTCTCTCTCTCTCTCTCTCTCTCTCTCTCTCTCTCTCTCCCTTTCTCTAAAACATCAATGAAAACATATCCTCAGGTGAGAATTTTTTTAAAAAAAAAAAGCTCTCAAAGCTTGAATGTGACAATATCACTTCCCTGGGGGAGTGGTCGCTACCAGGATCAGACAGCAGGGAACTTTCTGGGGGTGCTCCCCGACTTCTGCCAGCCCACTACACTGAGCCAACAGTGACCTCGAACCACACCCCGTGGTGCCTTTGTTTGTCTTGGGACCTCCTCCCTATGAGCAGAGACCCAGCCACCGCTCCTGCCTCCCTGGCAGCTCTCTCCTCCAGGCTCTGTGGCCTGCCCTGCCCCATCACTGTGTCCGCCTCTTCCCGTCACTGTCTTTACTGCTTGAAGCTCTCGAGGGACCTCATCTATTTAGCCATCTCTACATCTCAGGAGAGAATTTCTCTCCCATGTCCCTGACTCTACTTCCAAGTGTCCCCCTGGTGCCTCCAACTCATGTTTTAAGTCCAACGCATCTTTCACAAAGCTTGCCCCACTTTCCTGTGTTTGCCGCCTCTGCAATGGCAGCACCTCCCCCAGTCACCCAGGCTGAAAACCTGAGGCGGGTTTCAATGTCCTCCCTCCTAACTCCTCCGAAGGACACTGTGACCCTAGAACGGAGGCACCCGATGAGGACAGAGAGGCACTGGGCAGCTCGAGGATCTGCCCGCGGACACGCTGAAACCGAAGCCGTCCCTCCTCTCTGTCACAGTCTCCACTACCCTCTGTAGGGCTGAGGCTCTTACAACTAAGCCCTCCCAATCTACCCAACCTCCTCGCACCACAACGCTTCCCTTTCTCAAGCGGGCCTAGAGGTGTCACCTGCCCATCAGCCCCACTGCTGGAGTTCAGGGCCCCTCCTGACCTGAGCCACCCCCTCCATGCCCCCTCTCCCCGCCTCTCCCCAGGACACCCCTCTGCCACTGCCTCCCGGACGGCCTCCTCCCGTGTCCTGGGGCTCCTGCCTCACCGTTCCAGCCACACCGTTCTATTCCCAAGTGCCCCACCCACCCCTTTTGCTCCCTCTCTCTTTCTTTCGTAATGCCAAGCGGTAGAATTATGGACTATTACCATATCATTAGAAGCATTTTTTTAAATAAATGCTATGTGAAAAATATTTAAGTAAAAAAAAGTTTCCCAGCCTCCCCTCTGCCTTCTGGGGGAAATGAGCACGTGCTCCCCAATGATCCCAGAGCCATCACACAGACGCTGCTGCGCTGCACGGTCACACCCTTCCTCCCCTTCCTCTGACATCGGGGTGCCGCGCACCGTGTGGGCTGCCCATGAAAGCACAGGCGTCGGTGTCAGTGCCCCGGGCCACTCCATGTGGGCGTGTTGCTGACTTACGTGAGCAGAGACAGGCTGCAGGCACCATGTACACAGCCAGGGCACCGCCACCAGCTCTGCGAGCTTCCATGAGAACTGAGTTAAATCCCACAGAGGCCTTACAACCCATAAAACTCTGTCCTGACACTGATTTTCATCACGCCTGGCAGTGCTGGACAAAACGTCTGTTGGGGACACTGTGCCACTGACGTCCACCCAGAAGCACCTGCACAGAACGTAAAGTCCACGCTGGCTCCAGGCGTGAAGCTGCAGGGCCCAGCTCAGTGTTAATCCCTCAACCCCTGAGCAGCCTGCAGGCTCCACCAGGCAGACCCCCCAGAGGTGCTAGGGCTGTGGGCACATGGACACTTTCAAAACCTCCCAAAGTGCCCTGGCCAGTTTGGCTCAGCAGTTAGAGCGTCGGCCTGCGGTCCAGAGAGACCCGGGTTCGGTTCCCGCTAGGGGCATGTACCTCCGTTGCAGTTTGTCCCCGGCCCTGGTTGGGGTCGTGCGGGTGGCAACCACTTGATGTGTCTCTCTCGCATCGATGTTTCTCTCTCTTTCTCTCCCTCCCACTCTATCTGAACAAACAAACAAACAAAAAAAATGGAAAAAATGTCCTTGAGTAAAGATTTTTAAAAAAAAACCTCCCAAAGATGGGTGGGCACTCCCCTTAAAAATCCACAGACCCACCTCTAAAACCTTGGTTCAACCAACAGAAAAACTAAGGCCAGGAACGGGAACTTGCAGAACAGGGAGGAGAGCCCTGTCCTCTCCATTTTCCACCAAGGCAGGCACAGTTGGTCAGAGTTCCCATGCTCAGAATCTCTGTTTTAAAGACTTTTGAAAAACAATCCTATTTCCCTTTACATCAGCTAAAGGTGAATTTTCCTTTCTTCCTTTTAAAACCATGACCAGTTTTTGTTTGTTTGTTTGTTTGTTTTTTGGTATGTGCCCCTAGTGGGAACAGAACCCAGGACTCCGGTCCGCAGGCCAATGCTCCAACTGCTGTGCCAAACTGGCCAGGGCCATGACCAGTTTTTTTTAAATGAGGAACCTCTCTTTTACATTAATATGAAAAGATTACCCAGACATAGTAGGTAAAAAGCAAGATGGGAAACTTCGGAAAAATCATTTTTTAAAAACCAAGGAACAGCCCTGGCCGGTTTGGCTCAGTGGTTGGAGCGTCAGCCGTGGACTGGAGAGTCCTAGGTTCAGTTCCCGATAGGGGCACATGCCTCGGTTGTGGTTTGTCCCCGGCCCCAGTTGGCGTCATGTAGGTGGCAGCCACTCGATCTGTCTCTCTCACATCAATGTCTCTCTCTCTCTCTCTCTCCCTCCCTGTCTCCCTCCTGCTCTGTCTGAAGATGAATGCAGGGGTGTCCTCAGGAGAGGATATATATACACACACACACACACACACACACACGGAACTGACAATCATGAGGGTCCTTTTGCAATGTATAGTGGTATATCATCACATTGTATACTTTAAATGTATCATAATTTTATTTGTCAATTACTCCTCAATAAAGCTGAAAAAGAAAAGAAAAGCAAGGAGTAAGTAAAACAGTGTGGACAGTAGGCAGCCACTGCATATAGAATAGGGGGAAGCAACTCTACCCGCTCTGTGCTTGCCCAGCAGAGGGAGACATTTCTCTGTATAATAAAAAGGTATCATGGGAAATTGCATTTTGACTATTGAACTGCATGACTATATTACCCATTCAAAACAAACACAATAAAAATTGTGGCCAAAGCTGGCACTGCCCGGTTACTCCAAGACACAATGGTGGCAACTCCTGGCTGCTAAGCACAAACACAGAAGAACCTCAAGTGGGAATCATCTCATCTTCAGGTCAGACACAAATGGTCTTATTTGTAAATGGGACTTGTTATCCTTTCCTGCCCACATCATAATGTGCTGTAAAACTCAAAAGAAATTGATGGGGTAAGTAGACAGGCCCCCAGCAGTGGCATTCATAATTTAGTGGATATAAATGCCTTTAAGTATTCTTCTTATTTAATTTATGTGTATCATCCCAAGGGGGGGGGGGGGATCAAGGTATAAAAGAAAATGTTTGATGTACAAAAGATATTCTTCATGATGTTATTTAAACTCAGTAAGACCTAAATGTCCAAATATAAAGTAATGTCTTGGTCAACCAGTAGAACACACATTCATTGGTAATGATGGTTTGGAAAACCACACAGCAATGTAAAAAAGCCCGTAAGGTATCAATATGAAGAGAAAGAGAGGGTCTGGAATTACATATATAGTACAATTACAGACATGTAAGAACATACATAGCCATAAGTGGCAGAGGCCCCATGATGTCCACCTCCCAGCGTTCATCCTCTCCTGTAATCCCCTCCCCTTGAATGTGATGGGACCTATGACTCACTTCTAACAAATATGGCAAAGGTGATGGGATGTACAGGACCATGTGTACACGAGTACATGAATATGTAAGATTGTAGCACTTGTCTTGGTTAAGTTTCTATTTCCCTAGTTGGCTTGAGCCTTGAAATCAGCCATGTGGAGGACCCCACAAGGCCAGGAACTATAGGCAGCTCTAGGCACTGGAGGCAGCTTCCAGCCAACAGCCAGAAAGAAACAGAAGTCCTCAGTCCTGCAGCTTTAAGGACCTGGATGCTGCCAACTTGAATGAGCTCAGAAGTGGATCTTTCTCCAGTCAATCCCCAGATGACACAACCCCAGCCATCACCTTTATTGCACCATAGTGAGACCCTGAGCAGAGGAGTCACCAAAACTGAGATAATAAATATGTGGCCATTTAAGTCAGTAAATTGAAAATCTTTTTACACAGCAATAGATAATAAGCCATACATATAAAGTTGTTTTGAAAAATATATGCCAAAATGCTGACAGTGGTTATATTTAGGTGTTTGGATTAGGAATATTTTTTTTCTAGGTCCCAAATAGCCTCTAATATGCTTACAAGATTTATATAACAATAAAAAGTTTTAAAGGATACACTGGATGCACAAATGATTGTCAAGTCTGAACCCTCCACACACCACAGTACTGGGTCCCACCCTGTGCAAAAGCCAAGAGACTAAGCCCACCGTGCAGCTTTACCTCTGGCTGAGTTTACGTCATCCTCAAATATTTTCTCCATCTTGGCCAGGTGTAATTCGGTAAACAGCAGGGGCTCATGTTGGAAGTCAGGCATCTGGCTAAGGCTGACGGATGATGTCGGGAAGCTACCTGGGGTGGACGGCTGGAACAAATATGACCACAAGAACCAGGGACTGAGAAGGTGGATTTCCTGTCCCGGACATTTTTAAGCACATCTTATTGAAAGAGAAACCTTTTGGGGAAAGACAACATGTAGTATTATGTTGTGTTACTTACTGATACACACAAGTCTTGACCTCATTCAGACCTAGGAAGACCAAGAAAGATCTAGATGCTTCTCTGACTTTGGCAGTTCCCCTTTTACAGATGCCCCGACTTGAGGCTCAGTGAGGTTAGCGGACACAGCCAAGGTGTCACGTCACACATAACAGGACTCTAATTTACAAGGTGCTTCAGTTCAGTAACTATATTGTTTCAAACCTTCAGTGGTCAAAATTCAATGCCCCATGGAATCCAGCTCCATGTTCCCCAGACAATTTGATACGGTCCTGACTAGCCCAGACACCCCCCGGGTCAGATCAGATCATCTTCACACACACGGAAGGTCATGTAGACCCCTCCATCCAGGGCTCACAGCTTCCTCCTCCTACTCACCTCCCACCATCCCCCCAAAAGCTTTCCCCACCCCTCTATCCCTCAACAATCAACAATGCTTCCTCTCTTTATCTCCTTCACAGGACTCATTTTGATACTTGGCATAATGCTTCAGGTCACTAAAGGCTTAGGTCCTCAAAGTCTGCCTCCCCCAAAACACTGCAGGTATGGACTATACCATGATAGTCACTGAGTGCTGCTCACTGAGACGCACTGCTTTGAGCTTTTGGGGTCAAAAAGACTTCGGTGAATGTTGGACTATTCAGTCTCCCACCAAACAAGCAAAATGTTCATCTCCTGTAAACTTTCATTCATTCACTCATGGTTCACACACATTTGTTGAGTGTCAAATACTGTGGACACGCAAGTGAACAGAGTTGAGACCTGCCTTTATGGAGCCAGGCAGATGAGCTAGTTCATGCTCTCCCCAGCCACGCAGGCCCTCAGATTAGAAATTTGAGCACCATTTTTGGCTCTTCCCTCTTCCCTGCTATATATTCTGACTGTCCCTCTTGTTAGTTCTTACTGATCCATCTCCTGTACCTAAACCCTCCTCTTACACATCCCTGCCCCACCCCAAACCCTGGCCTTTTGCTGGAACAAGTACAATGTCCTCCCCTAACTGAGACCAGGGTTCGGCCTTCCCTCCCAATCCACCTCCCAACACTGGCACAGTCATCTTTCTGGAAGGCAAATCTGGTCATCTCTGACACCTTCCAGGCTACTCCCACCACCTCCAACTACTGCGTGTGGCATTCAGAGTCCTTTGCAGTGCAGCCCTGACCTGTCTTTCTAGTTTCAATGTACACACCGTGGTCCAGGCACACTGAGGGTTCTCCAGCATCCCCAGACATGGAAAGCAGTCCACTTTTATCACACTGTTCCCTCCATGTAATACAGACCATCTCGCCTAGAGCTGAACTCCCACCCATTCCTCAAAATCTGGCTCAAATGGGTACCTCCTCCAACGAGTCACCACTGCCACCTCTGTGCTCCCAAACTCTTTGTTCATATCTGCAGTGCATGTGTCTTATTGGTGCGTCTGTCCATACATGTAGACGGCAAAGGCTAGAATTCTGCCTGGCTCCCTACTTCCAAGCTAATTATCTTGGGCATATCACAGCACTTCTCTGAGCCACAGGTGTCTCTGTCAGCAAAAGAGATCCACAATACCTACCTTGCAGGGTTGTGGTAGGATTTAAATGACAGCCCGGCCAGTATGTGGCTGAGCATTGACCCATGCACCAAGAGTTCACCAGTTCAATTCCCGGTCAGGGCACATGCCCAGGTTGTGGGCCCGATCCCCAGTGGGGGGCATGCAGGAGGCAGCCAATCAATGTTCTCTTTCCTTGATGTTTCTATCTCTCTCTCCCTCTCCTTTCCTCTCTCTCTCAAAATCAGTAAAGAAAAAAAAATTTTTTTTAAACATTTAAATGACCCCTGAACACATGCAAAGTCCCAGCGAACCACGGTCACACAATAAATAGTGGCTCCTGTTATTACTCCTCTTATGGGAGCTCTTTAAAAGCAACAGCATATTTATCTTAATTTAATCTTAATTTATACTAATTATCTCTATAATTCCCCAGCCCCAAGCACATACTAGACACGAAATACTCATCTGGCTTGATAGTAATTTGTACAGCCCATCACACCATTATCATAACTGGGCTGAAGAGAAGTAAGTCGAGTGGGTGGAGAGGCTGCCGTTGGGTAGCTCAGATTTGCTGCATTGAGCCCGTGCAGTGCTTTGAAAGGAAAAACCAGCCTGCCTCAGTGCACACTTCAGTCACCTACCTGGCCTTGGAAACGTCTGAGTTTGCAACCCCTGGTGAGAGACTGAAAACCAATACAGACTTCTATTCTAGGCTAATGAGTGATGTTTGGATGGCTCTGGAACACCCCTTCTGTCACCAGCTCTGATGGTTTTCTTACCTCCTGAGGGTGAAGACTCTTTCTTAAGTCCCCAGAAGACAATGGTCTTGACCTAGAATAGGGAATCATAGTCACTTCAACGCCAGTCGTTGCAAGAATCACGTGGGAGGCTGACCTAGCTGGGTCACAGGAGGGTGGAAAGGAAGTCAGGGTTAAGGCAGGGGGTGGCTGTGCGGCGCCATGGACACCCCAGAGCACATGTGATGGGCAACCCTTTTCCCACAGGGGCTTCTCCAGCAGGGAGCTTTTCCAGGCTGACAACTGTGGGTTTTCTTTCCCCTGATGGAAAAGAGTTGTCCTACTGAAGCCTTGGGGCTTCTCGAGTTACTATACCAGGGGCTTCTGAACCAGGGTCACCCTTTTTTTACAGAATTCAGAAGGGCTTAGGAGACCTTAGGTGACCCAACTACAATTCACAGATTAGGAAAGTAAGGTCTAGGGGTGGGCCTGTGTCCAAAGGGTCAAAGACATGCCCCAGAGGGGAAGCAAGACAGGCCCCTCTGATGCCCCCCCCCTGATGCCCTTGGAGACAGGACTTGGGGAGAGGTGACAGAAACCTCCTCACAGTAGCAAAGGGTCAGGGGAGAGTGTGTGGGAGATGTCTGTTCCCCGGAGCTCTGCTCTGAGAACATAAAGGACGCGTTTGCACTGGGTCAGCAGCAGCTCCGTAGAATATGGACGACAGCGAGTCCACCTCTTCAGCAAGTCCCACCAGCAGGAATGAAGAGGGTACTCTAGGATGCCGGGGGAATGACCAGGAAAGAGTCAAGCCCTACTCATGCTCAGTACAGAGCAAATGAGCCAGCTTGGTTTGGCAAAGGGCTCCTGGGGGGGGGGGGTAGTGGGGGAGAGGAGAAAAAAGGAAGTAGAATAGGAGGCTGACTAGGCTGAAGGGCAGTTATGAACATTTATCAGCATAAGATGGAAGGAGAGAGGAGGAAGAAGGAAGACTCAGCAATAGTGTTCTAACCTAACAGTGTCTCGGCAGCAGCTCAGATGTTAAGGACCAAAGGAGAGAGATGAGCCAAAGGAAAGATTTGGAAACCAAGAACCAGGGTAACTGAAGGAAATGCCAGAAACATTTCTAGAAAAGGAAGCAAAGAGGAAAGCGGCCTAATGCATGCTATGCTGAACTGTTCAATTAGAAATAAAAAAACAAATACCCGGAAATATAGGGACTGAGTGGCTACATTTAGGAGATAGAAAGGAGGAGAGACACAGGAAAGACAGGATGAGTCAGCTAGGAGGATGGGATGCTTCAGAGTGGGCCGCGATGATAAGAAAAGGAAAAGGCCACTGAACACAGCCATTAAAGGTCACCAGTGAACAGAGGCCACAGAAGTGGATTTATAAGTCTGTTTCTGGTAAGTATACGCACATGTATGTCAGCACAGAAAGACAACCTGGGAAATTATGCTCCATGTGTAACGGCAGTTATTTCTGGTAGGTGAGATTATAGAGAATTATTAAATCTTTTATTTTTTTTTTTAATTCAAAAAAGGTCCATGGCAATCTTTAAAATTTATTTCAATGGTGTGTAGCGATTTAAATCACTCATTTGTGAAAGCCCATTGTACAAGAGTGGTTGCTGCAGCACTGTTCATAGTGGCAAAAATAAAGTGAATGGCTGTCAGAGGATGATGGCTGAAAGGTCAATACACATTGCAGTCAGAGCACTCCAGGGATAAACATGACCTTCAGCACCAAGTAGGAGGGATTTCCATGAGATACGAATAACAAAGAAAAGATGCTAAAGAGTGTATGTGATGCCAATTTTTTTTTTTTTTTTTTTTTTTTATCCTCACCTGAGGACATTTTTCCATTTTTTGTACAGATAGAGTGGGAGGGAGAGAGAGGAAGAGATAGAGAGAGAGAAACATCGATGTGAAAGGGACACATCGAGTGGCTGCCACCGCACGACCAACCAGGGCCGGGGACAAACTGCAACTGAAGTACGTGCCCTTAGCGGGAACCGAACCCGGGTCTCTCTGGACCGCAGGCCGACGCTCTAACCGCTGAGCCAAACCGGCCAGGACTGATGCCAATTTTTATAAAAGAATGACAATTAGATATGTGTTTATACAAGAGGATCACTGTGTACACACATATACTACATTTGTAAATAGGACTACCCCTTAAAAATTATGGACAGGAGTGGCTCAGTGGATTGAGCATCGTCCAATGGACTGAGAGGTCCTGGTTCTATTCCAGATCAGGGCACATGCCCAGGTTGCAGGCTCAACCCCCAGTAGGGGGTGTGCAGGAGGCAGCCGATTGATGTTTGTTTCTCTCTCACATCAATGTTTTTATCTCTAAAAAAAATTATGGGGCCTTGGTCGCTTTGGCTCAGCGGTTAGACCCAAGTTCGGTTCCCACTAAGGGCATGTACCTCAGTTGCAGTTTGTCCCCAGCCCTGGTTGGGTCGTGTGGGTGGCAGCCACTCAATGTGTCCCTTTCATGTCGATGTTTCTCTCTCTCTCTTCCTCTCTCTCCCTCCCACTCTATCTGAACAAAAAACAAAAAAGAAGTCCTCAGGTAAGGATAAAAAAAAAATTATGGGGACAAGGCAAGAGAACATAGGTCCACACAGCAAGTCTCATCACTTTAAATGTTTATGTAAATATACTATTGAACAGCCCTGGCCGGTTTGGCTCAGCGGTTGGAGCATAGGCCCGTCGACCAGAGTCCTGGGTTCAGTTCCCACTAAAGTTGCGGTTTGTCCCTGGCCCCAGTTGGGGTCATGTGGGTGGCGACCACTCAATGTGTCTCTCTCACATTGATGTTTCTTTCTTCCTCCCTTTCTCCCTCCCGCTCTATCTAAGTGCAAGAATGTCCTCAGGTGAGGATAAAAAAAATAAACACACACACACAATTGAACAAAATATTCCATTCTCCTACCTTGATAAATATACTTTCAAACCAACCTGGAAGGCCAGCTTCAAATTCAGATTTTTCTAAACTCCTCAGCTCAGTGACAGAATTTGGCAGTTTGGGGAAAGCCAGCCACTATGCCCTCGGCCCATCCCCACCCCCTCTCTGTCCTGCTCAAGGGGCTTGTGGATAGTGGAATGTACATGGACACCCCAGCCCACACTTCGGGCTGTACCTCCCCCTCACCTACACTGCTCCACAGCTACCTCAAGCCTAAGGGGGCTGCCTCAAAACTGATGCACTGGGAAGCACATCCCCACAGACCCTGGTCAGGTTCAAAGCCATTTGGGTAGGAAATTCCAGTACTTAGAGCATGGGGGGAGAGGAGCCTCTGGATGGCCATGTCTTCTTTAATAAGTGGAGAGGGACAGAGCTAGAGGGCCCACAGCCTTCTTGCCTGGGACTAAGGAAAGGATTGTACTGTCAGTATGTTCAAAGTCATGAGTACAGAGGAAAAACATGGAAGGACACACACTAGGGTGTTAATATAGGTTATGGGGAGTTGGGGGCTAGTTTGACAACAGGCGGGCAAAGAATAAATACAAAAAAGTCTGCACTAACCAAACGCACGTGTATCATCACATTTATATAAAGCAGGAAAGCATGGGTATGTTTAAAGAAAATGAGCATGTTTTATTTTGCTCCAAAATCTTGACAATTAAAGTAGCGTCACCAGTGAGGGAGCAAAAGGCCACCACAGTCTCTGGTGTGCCACAGTCAGGACCCACCATGGTGTTCAGTGGTATTACTAACGATCATGCAGAACCGGAATCAAATCAGGAGAAATAAGACAAACCCAAACGGCAGGCCAGTCTACAAAATAACTGGGTTTTATTCTAAAAATGTCAGTGTCGTGAAAAACAAAGGCGGCTAAGGAACTGTTCCAGATTAAAGGTGACTTAAGAAAGCCAACAACTGAAGGTAATAAGTGATTCTGAACTGGATTCCAGACTGGGGGGCGGGGAGGAGCTCTAAAGGCCATTAGGACCATTGGTGACAGTTGAGTATGGACTCTACATTCTCAGCTAATACTGAATTAATACTCCCTGCTTTTGGCTGCTATACTGTGGTTAGTAAATATACACTTGAGTATTTCAAGGTAAAGGGGCATTGTGTCTAATTTATTCTCGGATAGTTCAGCAAACATATACAATGAAAAACCAAATGCGGCAAAATGTTCACAATTAGTCAATCTGGGCAAAGAGTAGTTCTTTACACTATTCTTACAACTATTTAGAAAGTAAATATACACTTGAGTATTTCAAGGTAAAGGGGCATTGTGTCTAATTTATTCTCAGATAGTTCAGCAAACATATACAATGAAAAACCAAATGCGGCAAAATGTTCACAATTAGTCAATCTGGGCAAAGAGTAGTTCTTTACACTATTCTTACAACTATTTAGAAAATGCTATTTAAAAACTAAAAATTTTATGAGAGAAATGTGTTTAACCAGAAGAGAGAGAACTCTATGTTCATGGACTGAGGCAAGAAGTAGAAAAAAATATTGGTGGAGGGGAACAGAGATATTCGAGAGATAAGAAAGAGAGTAAGAAGCTGAGAGAGGTACCAGTACTCCAATACCAATGAGAAGAAAACTTCAGGTGTAGAATAAATTTCTATTTAGAATATAGAATGAGTAAGATCAGGGAAAGCCACATCCATTGGCCCCAATCTATTCCCTAAAGTTAACCTGCTCTGAGGTCAGGAGCCAGTAATTGTACAAACCTGGACACAGGAGTGGAGCTTGGAACAGCCACTAGCACTACATGCTAGGGATGGGAGGAGAATAATTGGTTTACTGAATAATTAGTTGGTAAGAATTTGTAGGGGCAGATGACTTAAGGCCAAAAGCAGGTAAAGCTGTCCTGGAAATGGGTAAGAGATGCTCTCCTGTTTGGCCTTTGATCTCAGGCAAATATATGTTAGGGCCCAGGTGTCTAATCTTTCAGAAAGGACTTTATCCCTCACCCCTCACTCACCCTGGCCCAACTTGATCTCCCGAGTTAACCTCACTGGCCATATCTGACAGAGACTTATCGGTTTCAGACTTCAATCTTGAGAGAGACATCTTGGCAGCTGTCCCTACATCCAAAGTAGCTCCTTTACAAAGTTGCCGTGGAACTCTGGGGGCTTCCACCTAACTTCAGTCAGCTGGCCACACTGAGAACCAGGAAATGAGACAGCATTCCATGTGCAGAACACAAAACAGAACATCAGAATCCATCCCACAAACCGTAACAACACAGCCATTTTTCATCCAATTTGAGACATTCTTTTTATTGAAGAAGTTGAACTTACAGCAGACAAGTGACAGGAGCTACAGCACACATCGCCAGGACAAATATGAGTACAAAACAACCCGTAGAACAAATACAGCACAGAATGCCCACCTCTCATGGAAACTGTGGAAATGCCAGGGAGCCTGATGATAAAGCAGGGTTCACCAAAACCAAAAGGCCAACTGGCCCCTACAGTTGGGACAGGAAAAGGTACAGCAGCTCTCAACATGTTCTCTGTGTGAGCGCCAGTTCTTTGAAAAGAGGAGGGCTGCAAGGGCATTGTATGGGAGACGGGAGTCCTATCAACCCAGACTTCAGGGCAGGCCCGGACTTCGTGCAGCGCGGTTCTCTCTTGGTCCATGGCACAGTACAGCAGGCTGAGTTGGCCAAAGGTAAATCTCTTGGGAATTTCAACCAGGGACTTGGAATCTAGATTTAAAGATATCCAGCTAAATCACATTTCATGATGACCTACATGTTACCAAAATGTAAATGACCACCACACAAGACACTCCCCAGACCTACATCACAAAGAGAACACCCACATACAGAAAAAAACTTCTGCTCCCATTTCACCAATAAAGATTTTGTCACACTGTAGAACATTAAAAGTAGAGTGGTTCAATGAAATGTCATAAGATACAGGTCTTTTAAAATCAGTTTTAATAAACTAGGTCTTAAGCTAGTAGGGTTTATTTTTTAAAAAACAAGACTGATGGTCCTTCACTTGACTGTTTCCCAGAGTGGGGTTTGTTTTGTTTTGGTTTGGTTTGGTTCAGTGCTTTCATTTCCAATTCAATGTTATTGTTTCTACTTACAGTAGTTCCCGCAATTGATCACTATTTTTATATAGGCTAAATATGCTAAATTCTATTATAATAAATATACTTTTCCTTCCCCGGGAAGAAACATGAGAAAAAAGGAGAAATATTAAGATGCATTCCTTCTGGTAAGGAAAAGTTTTAAAAAACTCCTACCTTAAAAAAAAAAAAAAAAAAAGGTAGAAAGGGAGGACATTGGGAAGAAAAAATTTCCTAGACAAACTTCTACACAAAAGTAATTCTGAAAAAAAGGTTCCAAGTCCCACTTGAGACTAGTTCAGGCACTATCTGCCAATCAATCCTAAGGAGATCCTGATCCCTAAGAGCGGAGACAGGCTGCTGCCAAGAGGGAGCAGGTCCAGCTGACGGGCTGCAGGGACACAGACAGTTAACTGCTCCAGGGAAGGCACCTCCACCCCACTCAGCAGCAACGCCAATATTTTCCTCTCCAGCTTTACCACTATGGATTTAAAACGTCAACACTTGTATCCTAAACCTACAATTATGTCAATTATGCCTCAATAAAGTTTTAAAAAACAAATTTGTATCCTCAGCTTTTATGTAATTTAAAAAATTGTTTAATATACAACTTAGTTTGCTGAATAATTAGTTTGTAAGAATTTGTAGGGGCAGCCCGGTCGGTGTGGCTCAGTGGACTGAGCATCGTCCCATGGACTGACAGAGGTCCTGGTTCGATTCCTAGTCAGGGCACATGCCCAGGTTGCAGGCTCGATCCCCAATTCGGAGTGTGCGGGAGGCAGCCAATCGATATTTCTCTCTCACATCGATGTTTCTATCTCTCTCTCCCTTCCTCTCCCTCTAAAAAATCAATAAAGACATACTAAAAAAAAAAAAAAAGAATTTATAGGGGCAGATAACTTAAGGCCAACAGCAGGTAAAGCTGTCCTGGAAATAAGTCAGAGGTACTCTCTCCTATTCGGCCTCTGATCTCAGGCAAGTGTATGTTAGCCAAGAACAGAGGCTTTTTCCTTTTCAAACACAAATAAACAAGATAGATTTCAAAATGCCATAATTCAAGAAAATAGGCAGATTCTCAATGTGGCTACTTACCTATCTCTCCCCACCCCCCAAAAAAGAAAGAAAAGTACTTCTTTTTTTCTTTTTTAACTTCTTTTTTTCTTCATTAATTACTTTTTTAGAGAGACAGGAAGGGAGAGGGAGAGAGAGACAGAAACATCGATGGGAGAGAAAATCGATTGGCCACCTCCTGCATGCCCCCACTGGGGACTGGGCCCTCAACCTGGGCATGCCCTGATCAGGAATCGAACCGGTGACTTCTTGGTTCATGGGTCAACGCCCAACCACTGAGCCACACCAGCAGGGCAAGAAAAGTACTTCTTAAAGATTGAGGGGGATACTGAGAATCAGAGTGTTAAAAATTCTTAGGACATTTTAAAAAATAATTATTTCACTTGACATTGAATTATTATTTATTTTTTTAACCTTTAAAATTAATAGGGAGGGAGGTGTACATACACACAGAGACAAGCTTGGACTACCTATAACTACCTGTAAAACACAAATCATTTATTTCATTTTTCCAAGCAGCGTTTAAAATATCAAAGTAAAAACAGTCATACATAATTACACATAGTTAACTCTCACACTATTTTGTAGAAAAACATATAAAATACTCCCAAAATGGCAACATCAGATTAGAAACCTTTAGAATACTAAAATCCACACGACCTTGAGGTATGCTGGATCTTTAAATCACTAGAACTACTTCAAAATATATAAATGAGACTCTTTATGAGAAACATAAATAGCAACATGATAAAATAACTGTGAAGCAAGCAAGAGAGGAAAGAAATATGAAGGTCACTCAAGCTCAGGATGAACCATGACAAACATGGGTACAATACATCTAGATTCTCGCATTAAATGGCAATTCGGGGATGTATGTTAGCAAAGCCCTCCCCGCAGCTTGCTGCAGCCTGAAGAAAAACCAAACACATTTTGTTGAACTACTTACTTCTGTCAAAGCCTCTTCTTTTAGTGAAAACTTTTACTAAAAACACAAAAGCTGTACACTTTACAATTTCATTGTCAATGATAATTTTTTCATAATGTATCATATAAAATGGGTACAACTGATGCTGAGAAACACTGCTTTTCTCTGAACCAAACTGTCCCTCAACCTCTGATGAAAATTGGCCTCCAGAGGCAACAGTTGCCAAAACACTGGGCACTCCCCCACTCTTTTCTGTCCCCCACTCTTTCCTGCTCCAGTATCCTATTGGCTTTCACAAACCCAAGTAACATTTTCCTGGCCCAGAAGAGATTTGGGGAAAACCATTCTGTCTCTGAGCCAATGAAAAGCCGTGTTCTATAGACCAGGAATGCAGGGCCTGGAGGAGGACCCTTGCTCAATTCCTGGTCCTTGGACTCCTGGCCATAGAATTTCCCCTTATTTATTTGGTGAAGGTCAGAGAAGGGCTCTAGACACATATTCCCTTTATATAGTCTATCTACCCCACTTGTATGCTTATTTATCGTTGAACTTAACTTTAAGAGTCTATACTACAAGTTGTGAATCATTCGTTAAGGTTGAACCTTAGAAACTCATCTCTGTTCCCACTGGAAACTATTAAGAGCCAGCCATAAAGCCAGCTTTGTTAAGACTTTCCCTGATGGGCCGAATCTCACCTACCAGCTTCTCAAATCTCATTCTACCATCAAAACTGAAAGTTAAAGACACCAGTAAATAGAATAAATTACTCTTCCTCCTCTTCCTCATACCCATGTTCAACCTATCCCCACCAATAATTCCTGCAGACTGTGAAAAACAAAGTAAACCAGGAAAAAGTTAAAGGAGAAAAAAAAAATTTTTTTTTGAGATAAGACATCTTGCAAAATTCTAAACTGACAGATCACTTTGCAATTCTAAATCTATCTCCTGACACAAAGTTCTCTAGACTTTGGTGGCTAACCTGGCCTGCTTTCAAATGGTCATAGGTCAAAGATTTGCCTCTCCCCATCTGCAGAAACATGTCTGTGAAGGCTATTTTCATTTTATATTTCAAAACCTCAGAGCCCCCAATAAAAAGAAAATACTGACTATTTAAATTTCAATTTATACGTATATGACTTAAGATCCTGGATTGAGGGGCCTAGAACTCCAACTCAAAGGCTAGACATGCTTACCCAGATAACCAAATTAATGAAACTATTTGACTACAACCTCAACACAAAATTTCTGTGCTCCAAGGACTAAGGTAACATTACTTTCCAGTTCAGATTAAACCAAAAGGTAAACAGACTTTCACAAATTATAACTGTGTAACAATCTGGCTCAAGTCTTCTGGACTAATGGTTCTACAATTAAATTCAATTGGAAAGTACAGAAACCCTCCCTGGGTTTTCTTTCAGACAAGGACTTTGCATACTGTTATACTTTCACATATAAAAACTATGAGAAAAAAAGCACCAAGTGTCAGAAATAAATATGAACTCATCTGGTTCTTAAATATTTTATAAATGAAAGGTGTGAATTCAAGAATATGACATCGTCTTAATTTTATATCAACAGCAAGTATCAGACCAACAAAATGACTGGTCATTCACAAACACTGACCACAGGCTCAGACTCAGCTTGGTTCAGAGCAATTATTCCCACCCCCTCTGTTGACAGCAGTCAGATGTGGGTCACCCACATACTAACAAGCTAATCTGATTAGGGTGATTGTGCTTAATGCCTAGATTTTATTTGTGGAGTATGGTAAACTACTATGAACATCACAAAAGGAGCACCTAGTACCAAATCTTAGAAACAATCCTTAAAGAAAAAACCTCTCTAGTCTCTTTGGTTATAGCAAAAGAAAATGCTTCCTTTTGAACACCATATTACATTCTTGAAGAAAAAATTTTTAAATCAATAAATCTGAATTATTGAATCTTCATTTTAAAAAAAATGATGGAGTGCGTGTTTAAACCTCAATTTCACTTGGGGAAAAACGGTGAAAATCATAGCCTGA